AAAGTCTTCACAAGAGGTTTTTCCAAAGAGTTCACACACCCTCAACATGTGTGCATGGGAATCTTTACGTAAGGGTGCATAGATAAGAGGGTTTGTTTGGTGACTGATTGTTGATGCAAATCACAAATTCAACATGGCTGTCATTACGACCATGTATAAAAGAAGATTGGTATTCTCTTTGAGATATTTTTCTGTGAATGTTTCAAAGCATACAATTTCCTACTTCGAAAAGGATAAGTAAACACGATACTCGACAAATTGTATAGATGACATCCAATGGACAATTTACGATTGGAGTTAAAACTTTTGGAAAATCCTCCCCGGTTTTCGGGGGAGGGGGTGGGTGGATTTTCAAATATTTTAAGGTCCTCGGATTCATCAGTACACAGAGGAAAGCAGGTCGACATGAGCCTAATATTGGTCCTCTAGAAGATCCGACAACGACGGGAGTCGCCGGTGGCTCAGTCGTCACAGACGCCGCAATTCGCTGTGCAGAGTTGCGTCCATTGGGTACAGAAACCTAAGATCATGGGTTTGTCAGCACTATACCCGTGGGTTTCACCAAAGTGGTAAACGTCGGAGTCCTGCATTTCTGACGAAGGACGCTACTCTGCGCAGCGAATTGCGGCGTCTAAGAAGACTGGGGCACCCTGCCACCTTATGAAATAGAAGAGTGAGTGAGTGAGTATGGCTTTACGCCGCTTTTAGCAATATTCCAGCAATATCACGGCGGGGGACACCAGAAATGGGCTTCACACATTGTACCCATGTCGGGATTCGAACCCGGGTCTTCGGCGTGACGAGCGAACGCTTTAACCACTAGGCTACCCAACCGCCCCTGACATTAGAAAGTGTAGAACATTGGCGTATTAAGAGGATAGTCTTATCAAACATAAATGCAGATAAACCATTTTAAGATGTGAAAAACACCATGTTTGAATACGCCCATATGCTTGGAATATGTGTTGCCAACAAGAGATGTATGAAAGAACGAACACACTTCGATAGAACAGAGGGGGGCACGGGTGGCCCAGTCGTCTAAGGCGCCGCGATTCGCTGTGCAGAGTTGCGTCCCTTGGGCACGCCAGAAACCTATGATTGTGGGTTCGAATCCCGGTTCGCCCCAATTATGTTTCTAGGTTTGTCAGCAACATACCCGTGCTCGTGGGTTTCACCGAAGTGATTAACGTCTGGGACCTGCATCACTTCGGGCTTTTCTCCCACATTAAGCTGACACGCCGCGATATAACTGGAATACTGTTAAAAGCGGCGTTAAACCCAACTCACTCACTCACTCACTCGATAGAACAGAGACATATGCAGTGCGGGTAAACATGAGTCGTGAGGACTATGACGCTCTGTTGAAGGACGAGTATTTCTGGCTTGAAGATGTCACACGCCGAGACTATACGCCACGACGATTAAAAGACGATTAATGCAATTGTAATAATGTGTAATAAACGAACAATGAGTATATTGCCATTTATGTGTGCTAAAAAATCTAATGATGCTGTTGAACCTGCTCACGTGGAATATACGTGGTATTCTGCATCACACCGAGATCAACTCTAATATACCAGGAGATGCAGATGTTATAGCGATACAGGAGAAATGGTTGACCATCAGTAGTCCTCACAGATTGAGTGAGTGAGTGAGTGAGTATGGTTTTACCCCGCTTTTAGCAATATTCCAGCAATATCACGGCGGGGGACACCAGAAATGGGCTTCACACATTGTACCCATGTCGGGATTCGAACCCGCGTCTTCGGCGTGCCGAGTGAACGCTTTAACCACTAGGCTACCCGACCGCCCCTCTCAAAGATTGAATGGGCTTCACGGTCCCCGACCACTATGCTGTATATGTGTATGTGTACGATGACAGCAGCAACTCTGCACGTTGTTCTGGTGGCATTGCTCTACTACATAACAACAGCTCCATGTGGAATGTACAATGTCTAACTAGCTCTCTAATTGTGCTATAGCTGCAAAGGCGAATCCCGGAACCCCCTTTAAAACAACAAATTTAATTAGATGTATGCAGTATCATTATCTGAGGAAGGAGTTTGATATTTGATCCCTCCCTATAAAAAAATATGGATCTGTCCTTGATACATATTGTATCGGTAACTCTGGTTCATGTGAACGTCCGCCCTTGAGCTGTGAGATTACATCATCCGCGTGCATGTGATATGTATGTTGTGTGCTGTCGTCTTCCCTCAACTGACAGCTTGATATAGACGTACAACAAGGCATGTTATGTGATATGTATGACTCACTGTGACACTCACTCAAGGTGATACTGTTCTCCTTTAAAACCTCAACGCTGACATGCCAAAGGTTGTTACGTCATCACAAGATAAACATTTATCTAGATTTGTCAGCACACCATGTTTATTAAATACAATGGACGAGTACATATTTAGAAGTTAAGACAATATCAGTAAACCGCTAATAGATTATATCATCACACCATCTACAGTAAACTACGGTTATAACGAACATGCTTATAACGAACTAACGGATATAACAAACTAACTTTTTAGTCCCGACTATTTGCTGTAGTTATACTGTATATATGCTTATAACGAATTACGGTTATAACGAACTAAGATTAGTAGTCCCTTTGAGTTCGTTATAACCGTAGTTTATGTAATTTAAAAAGTAAGGTAGTATTAAAATGTTTCCTCGGTACTACTTATGAAACGTCTGATCACATCCCTTGTGGGACATCACTTTGTATAGACCCGTGTACTAAACATTCGACAAAGGATAACTGTTTTATTAAATGGAGTACGGTAACTAATGGTGATATAGCATCTTACAAAACTCTCCTAATGAACTGTTATCTCTTACAGACAGTGACTATACGAGTACTACACTGGACGACATTGAGACTTGCAATACCATGAGAGTGGAATGAAAGTTATATAATCAGATGCCACACACAATGTATTCTTGAGGGTAGTTTTAATGCAAATCTGAAACCAGTGTGGAAGGTTGGTTGGTTGGTTGGTTGGTTGGTTGTTTAACGCCGCACTCAGCAATATTCCAGCTATATGACGGCGGTCTGTAAATAATCGAGTCTGGACCAGACAATCCGGTGATTGACAACATGAACATCGATCCACGCAATTGGGATCGATGGCATGCATCAACCAAGTCAGCGAGCCTGACCACCCGATCCCGTTAGTCGCCTTTTACGACAAACATAGTCACCTTTTACGGCAAGCGTGGGTTGCTGAAGACCTTTTCTACCCCGGAATCTTCACGGGTCCACTGTGGAAGGAGGACGATCTAAATTTAAATGATGCACATTGTAATATGTGAGGGACAAAGCGGTGTGAAGAAAAACCCAGAGAAGAGAATGCTTAATGCAGTTCAAGGAAGAGAGAATTCGGACAAGGTCATAGACAACTAAAACGTCATTTTTGTTAAATCTGGAAGTGGGCTGGATAAAACCCATGTGGTGCTGATACCTTTATAAATGAGTTCATAAGCTTCGCAAACATAAAACTGGGATGGAAAAATCGTGATTACAATAACAGATTTGCTAATGACCCCAATGGTATAGTGATATAATATGTTTGTTTGTTTGTTGTTTAACGCCGCACTCAGAAATATTTCAGTTTTGTGACAGCGATCTAAAATCATCGAGTCTGGACCAGATAATCCAGTGATTGACATCATGTGCATCGATCCAAGCAATTGGCATAAGGTTAACATGCATCAACCATGTCAGTGAGCCTGACCACACGATCCCGTTAGTTGCCTTTTACGACAAGCATAGTCGCCTTTTACGGCAAGCAAGGGTTGCTGAAGACCTATTTAACCCCGGATCTTCACGGGTCTTTCGAAGGTCCTGGCACACAGATAAATCATTGACTATATCAATTATATAAAAAAATGAAAACAAAGGGAAAAGCTTTCGCCTTGTCTCACTCCCACAAATGAGGAAAATAGTTATCAGGTCTTACACAGGACATAACGTGTCTATAAGTATTGCAAAAGAAGATCAAGAAATTAAGAACTTATTCCCAGAGAATACAACTTGTGCCATAATGCGTGTTTTTAATGATATCAAAAGCCTTGCGAAAGGCTACGAATGCGCAATATAACTGAAGTCCTTTGCTGAGAACAAAATGTATTAAACCATTAAGCACAAACATACAATCCATTGTACTACAGTTTTCTCTAAAACCTGACTGTTTTTCTGGTAGTAAAGAATAATTATCACACCATTCCTTTACCCAACTATTGATTTACTACCCTTATGGATGGGAACACTTTGTTGGGTACTTTCCAGAGATCAATACAGCATTGGACAATTTAGCAAAAACTGGTGTCAAACTACTCTGTGTTTATTCAGATAAAGACATGTAACACACTTACCCAAGGCAGTATATACAACTTATATAGACCCCCTGCTGAAACCCATGTCTCGCAGGAGTGGCTACGATACAAGTGTAACTTTGAGTGCTAAGGAATGTTTCTGTTATTTAAGTTATTTTAACACGCGTTAGTTAAGTTGGAACCTCTAAACTGTCAAAATTAGAAACATTTTACGATTCTAATAGAAATTTCGAAAGGTTGTCAATAGGTTTCTTAAAAGCTCATTTGCAAATAAAACATTGTAACTTAATAATGAAGTGGGGTGTTTTACGCTGCATTAAACAGTATAACCTAGTGGTTAAAGCGTCGGCTCGTCACGTCGAAGACCCGGGTTCGATTCCCCGCATGGGTACAATGTGTGATGCTCTTTTTCCGGTTTCCCCCGCCGTGATATTGCTGGAATATTGCTAAATGCGGCGTAAAACCAAAATCACTCATGCACTCACTCACTTACTCACTTTTGAATATGGGACGCCTTTATTTACACCCCAGACATCAGATGTTAACATCACATGCCATAGATTTATCTCGCATATTCGATAAGTGGGTCAAGGCCACCTGATAAACATATAAAAGGTATTATCGCGTTATTTGATGTGAGATCTGTTTCGAAGTGGAAAGCTATGGGGGAGACGAACATCCTTGTGTTCCTCTTGGTTCTTGTGTCCTGTGCCGCAACACAACGCCCTAACATTGTCTTTATAGTTGCAGATGATTTAGGTGAGTGAGTGAGTGAGTGAGGTTTTTTTAACACATTAATCCTTGTCATTTTTCATATTTAGGGTTAGCGAAAGTGACTGAAGAATACAGAAATAGTTTGCAAAAAGAACGTGTATTTAAATGATTTTATCATGTATTAGATAAAGACGGGGATTAGATTCCCCACATGGGTACAGATTAGAAAGTTTATATCTTGACCCATTCCTCCGTCTGGGAGTTGCTGACACATTCATAAAAGAAGCGTTAAACACATTCACTTACAAATTTAAACTAACGATAAGGGTTTAAATTTGATAATTTCATTTGTCAATACATATCTGAATTACTCTAAAGGCAAACCAACAAAATTATATGAATGGGCCGAGCGCCAGACAGGGTAACAACAAGTACCATATTTTAACGTCTTTTGGTATGACGCGGCCGGGGATCGAACCCCGGACTTCCGCTCTCCGGGCGGACGCTCTACCACTAGACCACGGAGGCTGTCCAATGACACCAGGTGTTCGCGAGACACTCACAGAAGAACGATGAGGTTTTACCATGTCATATGTCAGTGTCAACACATATCTAAATGAATCACAACTTTATTTGCACCAAGGATGGAACGATGTTGGTTTCCGCAACCCGAACATGAAGACTCCAAACATCGACAAACTGGCTACAGAGGGGATCATCTTCGAGAGCGCCTATGTCCAACCTTACTGTAGCCCGTAAATACAATTTGTTAACCAACATTTGTTAATCCAATCTACCTTCTCCGTATATATCGCCATAATATTACTAGTTTTTATTCGCATTTCAAATATCACGATCACTGTCACGTTTTCATATTTAGCTAATGATCTGCATAGGTTTAACATAGTGAGTGAGTGAGTTGGGTTTAACGCCACTTTTAACAGTATTCCAGTTATATCACGGCGTGTCAGCTTAATGTGGGAGGAAAGCCCGAAGTGATGCAGGTCTCAGACGTTTACCACTTCGGTGAAACCCACGAGCACGGGTAGGGTGCTGACATACCTAAAAACATAATCGGGGAGAACCGGGATTCGAACCCACAATCATAGGTTTCTGGCGTGCCCAAGGGACGCAACTCTGCACAGCGAATTACGGCGCCTTAGACGCCTGGGCCACCCGTGCCCCCGGTTTAACATAGGTTTAACATAGGTTTAACATAGGTTTAGCATAGGTTTAACATAGGTATACCCAGTATCGTAATACGCTCATTCAAAGAAAGAATTCGAACTGACATTTATTAGATCACGTTCCACTAAGATTGACAGATGATATCCATATTTAATATTTATTAAGCGTTGAATCCGTCTTCTTTCATCTATTGTGTTGTAGATCTCGCACTGCGTTCATGAGTGGGATGTTTCCTTTCAAGGTCGGCATGCAAGTAAGTAGCTACCTAGACAGGCCATTCAGATGTTGGTAGATGATATAAAAGCAATAAAATTCCTTTTAACGCCACATTCGGCAATATTCGACCGACCAATGGAATGACCAATCAGAAGGCAGCTTTCTCCTGCTTTACGGCACTAATTTCAAATTGGCGACTACGCTTCGAAACGTATTTTGACAAATTCTCGAATACAAATTTGAAACCTGAACAAAAGAACATTCTGGAATGACTAATAGATGGTCTAGATTGTATGGATACAGTCGTTAAACCCGTAACTATCGTTCGGAGTTAAAGTTTTCGAGGCTTCATGATCAGAAATCACATTCCGACTGTCACTTTCATAATCTGGTAAGCGATGCTCTGATTAGTCGGATGAAAGGTCGTTCTGACGTGACCCGTAATGGGATGTCCTCAGATCTTTGTTTAGCGGTAGCGAGAACTGAGGTCTGATTTTAATCAGATTGGTCGCGTCTGGACCAGACGAACAGTGATACTGTGAGGAACGATGGCACCGAGCCTGAGAACCAGACCCATTAAGTTACTGGGGAACAAATTCCAACCCGATATCTTCACGGGGTTCTAATGACACGGAGTCATATCTGAGACATGTGCCAAATGTCTTCAGCAACCAATGCTTGCCTCAAAAGGCTGTGGTGGTCATGCTCGCTGACTTGGTTGACGCATGTCATCGTATTCAAATTGAGTGGATCGATGCTCATGAATCACTGTATTGTCTGGTCCACACTCGATTATTTACAGACCGCCGTCATAGAGCTGGAATATTACTGAGTTTAAGATTAAAGGGTCTAAATGTCAGAGACAACGTTTCTGTATTGTCGTAACTGCGTTAGGGCGTCAAGGGGACACTACTACAGTTACCTAAACGTATTGTCGTTCCTAGTCGTCATTAGTTAAGTCAAGACTTTGCCGCTCGCCTGGTCAGCATCGGGTCATCTGAGTCAAGGAGTCATTGGTCTAACGACGCTTTCTCCGAATTTTCTCCATCAGCAGTCATACTCGCATGATAAAGTAACGCAACAGCCGGCTTTATACTCACAATAGCTTTACCTTCTCGTCACTCCATCTATCAATACACGACAGGATCAGACCGACCAGGGTCGCCACTGAGTGAGGAACCTATTACGATCGTGATTCGACTCGGTCGCTGGTAAAACCGCGCACACCTTTTCTAACAGTGACAATATCATTTTAAAGTGTTCGGGCCTGAACCTTCTTTGTCACATGTCATCATAGATGATTCTAATTGGTTAAGAACAATATCAGACCATGAACTCGTGCTTGTGGCATTATTCTATTGAATAATTAGTGACAACAACACCGAACCTAGCTGTCCCGAAATACCATGTAGCTGTCATCGCCCTATTGGTGCCCTGATTGTTTCCGTCAATTGATATATTGTTTGGGTGAGGAGAGGTGAAATGGGGTTTAACGTCGCGTCCAATATTATTGCACTTATATCGACGTGCATGTACGTGTGTGTGTTTGTGTGGCTGCTTGTACTTGTCCGGACTGATGCCGATTTAAAGTGCTAGCTCACTGAGATACCGTGCCGCAGTTTAACATGAATACCCTACTCAGACACAGTATACTGATTCCGGGCCAACCAGTCCTTGTTTTAGCCCCTTAATGCCGAGCGCCAGACAGGGTAACAACAAGTACCATCTTTTAACGTCTTTTGGTATAACGCGGTCGGGGATCGAACCCCGGACCTTCCGCTCCCCGGGCGGACGCTCTACCACTAGACCACGGAGGCGGTCGATATATTGTTTGGTGCGTCGTTTGAAGATACTGTCACATGCACTGTATGATGGGCTTGTGCCCCCTTTACGGAAATAAGCACTTTCTCATTCATTCTCAAGGGATGATAGATACTCCTTTTCAACCACAATTAATTTGTTACTGCTATTTTGTAGAATACAATTGTCTTTTATTGACTTAAATGAGGTGGGTTTAACACCGCTTTGAACAGTATTCTAGTTATATCACGGCGTGTCATCTTGATGTGGAAGGAAATCCCGTAGGTTGACCACTTCGTGCCAGCTACGGGGGCACGGGTGGCCCAGTCGTCTAAGGCGCCGCGATTCGCTGTGCAGAGTTGCGTCCCTTGGGCACGCCAGAAACCTATGATTGTGGCATCGAATCCCGGTTCGCCCCGATTATGTTTCTAGGTTTGTCAGCACCATACCCGTGCTCGTGGGTTTCACCGAAGTGGTAAACGTCTGAGACCTGATATCACCTCGGGCTTTCCTCCCACATTAAGCTGACACGCCGCGATATAACTGGAATACTGTTAAAAGCGGCGTTAAACCCAACTCACTCACTCACTCACTCGTGCCAGAAACCAATGATCATGGGTTCGAATCAATATTCAAACAAATTATGATTCAAAATTTGTCAGCAATAGCTCTGCATAGCGAATACAGGTGCCTTAGGCGACTGGGTCACCTGTGCCTCCTTTTATGGATATAATAGTACTTATACAAAATATGATTTTCAATTTCTAGCACATAGTTATTAGCGACAGCCAGGCTGCATGTGTGCCTCTCAACTACACCTTCCTGCCACAGGAGTTGAAGAAACTTGGCTATGCTACCCACATGGTTGGCAAGTACGTCCACAAAAGCCCCAACAACTTTAACACGATACAGCCTGCCCACTGTCCAGATCGACCCGTGAAGATCCGGGGTAGAATAGGTCTTCAGCAACCCATGCTTGCCGTAAAAGGCGACTATAGCTGTCGTTAGAGGTGACTAACGGGATCGTATGGTCAGGCTCATTAAAATCAGATCAGATCTCGCTGCCGCTAAACAAAGATCTGAGGACATAACGGGTCACGTCAGAACGACCTTTTGCGAACTTGGACCGACAACTGAAATGACTAACAAGAAGTCGACATCAGCCAATTAGAAAGCAGCTTTCTCGAGCTTTACGACACTCGTTTCAACCTGGCGACTTCCATTTCAGACTTGAAAAATATGATGACACAGTTTTCAATTACAATTTTGAAAACTGAACAAACGAACATTCCGGAATGCCTAATATATGGTTGAGATTGTATGGCAGTGCTTCCCACGTACTGTTCAACGCCACCTCCGTTCAAACGTTTATCCCACTGAAGCGAGGGATATACGATAAATTTGACGGAATCAGTCGTACCGGTTGTAACTGTCGCTCGGCATACCCCGTGTTAACGTTTTGGAGGTTGCATGATAAGAAAACATTTTCCGACAGTCACTTTCATGATCTGGTAAGCGACGCTCTGATTGGTCGGATGAAAGGTCGTTCTGACGTGACCCGTAATTAGATGTCCTCAGATCTTTGTTAAGCGATAGCGAGAACTAAGATCTAATTTTAATGAGATTGGGTTGATGCATGTCATCGTATCCCAATAACGTGGATCGATGCTCATGATGTCAATCACTGAATTATCTGGTCTAATCTCGATGATTTAGAGACCGCCGTCATACAGCTGGAATATTTCTGAGTGCGGCGTTAAACAACAAACAAAGAAAACAATGTTCAGATCTCTGCTTCATGTTTGTCGAAAGAATATCTTAATAAATCCTTTCTGGCAAAAAGGACGTATTCCAGGAGTTTCTACGATTCATACAGTCCAGGACACCACGGTAAGAATTGGTCACTAGTAAACTGTGCTTGTCGCAAGGGGCGACTTTGTGGATCGGGGGGGGGGGGGGGGGGGGGGGGGGGGGGGGTGTTGCGCTTCATTTACCCCGACGGCATCGGTGGTTGCTCACAATTTCAATCACTTGTTTGTCTGGTCCACACTCGCTTATTGACATGATGCCGCCGTATAGCTAGATTATTGCTGAGCGCAGCACACATAAACGCTCACACACGCACACGCACACACAGACCAAGAAATAGATTTCGATATTGTTACATGAATTATATCAAGGGCTTAAAAAGTACATATGATAAGTCAATAAAAAAGCCAGCTTGACTGAACTAACACTGATCACGGATGTAACGCTCTTCGCCAAACTTCACAGGACAAACCGCCTCCGTGGTCTTGTGGTAGAGCGTCCGCCCGGAGAGCGGAAGGTCCAGGGTTCGATCCCGGGCCGCGTCATACAAAAAGACGTTAAAAGATTGTACTTGTCTGGCGCTCGGCATTAAGGGGCTAAAACAAGGACTGGTCGGCTCGGAGTCAGTATACTGTGTCTGAGTGAGGTATTCATGTTAAACTGCGGCATGGTATCTCAGTGAGCTAGCACTATAAATCGGCATCAGTCCGGACTAGTACAAGCAGCCACACACACACATACACGTGCATGCACGTCGCTATATAAGTGCAATAATCTTGGACGCGACGCTAAACCCAATTTCACCTCACCTTCACAGGACAACACGTTCCAACCCTTAACGCACTGCATGTCCTGTTCCAGATGGCACCTTGGGTTCTGCAAGTGGGAGTGCACACCAACGTACAGAGGGTTTGACACGTTCTTCGGCTACTACAACGCACAGGAGGGCTACTTCAACCACAGCTTAGGCAAGTACACAACTACGTGCACTACAAACCCCGACGTGAGAATGCATCCCCAGGAACCTCTGCTTGTCGTAAGAGGCGATTTAATTAATGAGTCGTCAGGCTCGATGACCTGGATGATACCGGACCAGCGTATCCTGCTTCATTGTTGCTCACAATATCAATCACTGAATTGGCGCTTCGTGAGTGAGTGAGTGAGTTGGGTTTAACGCCGGTTTTAACAGTATTCCAGTCATATCGCGGCGTGTCAGTTTAATGTGGGAGGAAAGCACGAAGTGATGCAGGTCTCAGTCTTTTACCTCTTCGGTGAAACCCACGAGCACGGGTATGGTGCTGACAAACCTAGAAACATGATTGGGCCGAACCGGGATTCGAACCAACAATCATAGGTTTCTGGCGTCCCAAGGGACGCAACTCTGCACAACGAATCACGGCGCCTTAGACGACTGGGCCACCCGTGCCCCCGAATTGGCGCTTCAACTCGATTATTATTTACAGGCCGTCGTCATAAAGTTGAAATATCGCTGAGTGGGCATATAACACCAAACAACCAACACATAAACTACAAGGCTGATGATGCAATAATCACACCTATTCATCATAGGGCTCAATGTGTAGATGCAACATTTAAAAACTATGTTCATATTTATAATTTGTTCTTGTTCATTTGTTTGTTTACAGGTGGCTATTTAGACTACAGAGACAACAAACTTCCTGCTTGGGACTACAAAGGAGAATATTCAGCTGTAACTTATTTTTGTTATTTTTGTTTCATGACAGCAAACACACCTATTACAAAACATAAACGTTTATTGTTACCAAATGCCTATCTCTGTACAGAAAAACACCAAATAGCATACAAGAACCTGGCTTACCCATAACCTGCAGGGATCGGTGAAGAATAGGTCTTCAGCAAGCCATTCTTGTCGTAATAGGCGACTATGCGTGTCGTAAGAGGCGGGATCGGGTGGTCAGGCTCACTGACTTGGTTGATGCATGTCATCGTATCCAAATTGCGTAGATCGATGCTCATGATGTCTTTCATGGATTGTCTGACTTGATTTTTTTACAAACCGCTGTCATATAGCTGAAATATTGCTGAGTGTGGCATTAAACAAACAAACATAACCTGAAGGAACATTAACAAACTGAAGCACCTAACAAAGATAACTTGAGCTCAAGGGGTAGTTGTTCTACTCAGTAGGATACAGTTAACTACGGTTATATCGATCTCAAAGGGACTACTAATTTTAGTTCGTTATAACCGTAGTTCGTTATAAGAACATATACAGCATGACTACAGCAAGTAGTCGGGACCAAAAGGTAAGTTCGTTATAAGCGTGGTCGTTATAACCGTAGTTTACTGTAGTTTGTAAATTTCCAACGTTTCGAAAGTTGACGCATTTCTGCACAAATCTGAGGCGCCACACTTCCCTCGGGTGTTTTGTTCGGTGTTATATCGTTTCTTTATTTATCAGAACTATACCCCTGCTCGTGAATTTCACCAAAGGGGCAAACGTCTAAGGTCTGCATCACTTTGAGCTTTCCTCCCAAGCTGACACGCTGTAACAGAACTGAAATACGGTTCAAAGCGGCATTAAACCCAACTCACTCACTTCAGGCCAACCACAAACAATTCCCTGTATGCGCACATACATCTTTAAACCGCTATACATTGGAATTCCAGGTTAAAATTGATCCCAGTAACATTTGCTTATTCCAAGAGGCCACTTACAGGATCAGAATCGTGAAGATCCGGGGTAGAATAGGTCTTCAGCAACCCATGCTTGCCGTAAAAGGTGACTATGCTTGTCGTAAGAGGCGACTCACGGGACTGGGTGGTCAGGCTTGCTGACTTGGTTGATGCATGTCATCGCATCCCAATTGCGTGGACCGATGCTCATGATGTCAATCACTGGATTGTCTGGTCCAGACTCGATTAGTTACAGACCGCGGTCATATAGCTGGAGTATTTCTGAGTGTGGCGTTAAACAACAAACAACAACAACAACTTAAAGGATTGGGTGTCCAGACTCGGTGACTTGGCTGATCCTCCCTTGCAAACAGAACATATTGTAGGAGAACTAGAGTGTCGCCTTTCCACCAAGAATCACCTGTGGAGAATCCGAACAAGAATGGTCCCCAGTAACCTGTGCCGAACGTAAGTTTATTTTGTATTTTGTTATTTGACGCCTGAATCAGCAATATTCCAGCTATATGACGGCGATCTGTAAAAAGATCCAGTGTGACCAGACAATCCAGTGATTGACATAATGAGCATCGATCTACGCATTTGGGATACGATGACATGCATCAACCAAGTCAACGAGCCTCCCGTTAGTCGTCTTTTACAAGCATGGGTTGCCGAAGACCAGTTCTAACCCGGATCGTCACGGGGTCTGGTCGTAAGATGCGACTTAGTGGATCGGGTGGTGACATGGTTGGTTGCGTTTCATCGGCGGCGTGATCGTGGCTCATAATAACAACCACTTGATAAATCGAGTGACTGATAGTGTAATCTACTATTACAAGAAACAGATGTCCGTCCGTGTTTCAGTATACATTCGCCCAGAAAGCTGTTGACATCATCCACGAACACAACGTCTCCCAGCCGCTGTTTATGTACCTGCCCTACCAGAGCGTCCACGATCCAATGGAGGTAGGGTCATCTTCGAGTCTATGGAACTGTGTGTGTTTTGTTACAAAAAGAAACGTACATATTTTCATGTACATAAGCAATTTTTTACAAACATTCATTGACTGTTTTTTACATATTTCTGAAGGCTACAATAGAATATAACTTTCAAATCTAGACGTTACAATTATCATTGACTATGACAGTTATTGTGAGCATTAGCCCATCGGTATATGAACATCGTTGAATCTAGTAAACTATTTGCGTTGAGCTACAGACAAGGCGTACATAATATATGCAATGTATTTAGAACATATTTGACAATTTAATTCAATGGTTCATTTCCGAAGGAAAGAAATGATTGCTAACCCCATCACTGAATATGACGGTTATCTGGAGCATTAAGCACTTAGACACATGACAACGTTCTCGTTCTATTTAGGTTCCCGTAGAGTACTTCAACATGTATCCTAATGTGATGAACCAAGGTCGCAGGACGTACTCAGGTATTTTAGTATCCTTTAAATTGTAGTTCCACGTTCATCCACCAGGGGCGGTCGGGTAGCCTAGCGGTTAAAGCGTTCCCTCGTCATGCGGAGACCCGGGTTCGATTCCCGACATGGGTACAATGTGTGAAGCCCATTTCTGGTGTCCCCCGCCGTGATATTGCTGGAATATTGCTGAAAGCGGCGTAAAACCATACTCACTCACTCACTCACTCACCCACCAGCATGATATCATGACGTAGCCAAACAGTTGCAGCGAGCTACATGTTCTACATTTCCATTTAAAGTTGGCAAAAACATTATGGATAACAACGTCGTTATTACACTGTAATAGCGACCTTTTGGTGTAAACATCCTAATACTGTTATCACGCAATACTGAATAATGAACTTGGTACTGCATTTTATATATGAAGGGGGGGCACGGGTGCCCCAGTCGTCTAAGGCGCCGCGATTCGCTGTGCAGAGTTGCGTCCCTTGGGCACGCCAGAAACCTATGATTGTTGGTTCGAATCCCGGTTCGCCCCGATTATGTTTCTAGGTTTGTCAGCACCATACCCGTGCTCGTGGCTCTCACCGAAGTGGTAAACGTCTGCATCACCTGCATCACTTCGGGCTTTCCTCCCACATTAAGCTGACACGCCGTGATATAACTGGAATACTGTTAAAAGCGGCGTTAAACCCAACTCACTCACTCACTATATGTGAGGGATTAACGGTAACAACTGTTATCCTACATGAGAGGGATTACACGAGTAGGTGAACCAATAACAACATAAGGATTCTAATGTAACAACATTATGGACAGAGAACATACATCGAGGAAACCAATAGAACCAGCATGGCATGCGATACACACGTGACAAAAATAATGCTATTTACTACCTGCAAATCATATATTGTTTAGGTAATGACATGGCTTCTCTCTAGGAATGGTGACGGCCCTCGACGATGCAGTTGGGAACGTGACAATGGCACTTAAAGAGAAGGGCCTGTTTGAAAACACACTCATTCTCTTCACAGCTGACGTAAGGAACGTCATCTTCCTCTGTGACTAAATAAAGACAAATAAATGGTCGAGAAAACCATCATAAATCCTCATGATAAGGACATCAAAAGAGTTTTATGGCGACGTAAGTTGGCCAAGCATTGATAATAATGACGCGAATTTGAATTTTTCTCAGGTAAGGTTGAATTTTTATATTCTTTGTTTTGAAAACAATACTGTCGAGGGAGTAACATTTCTCATTCCTTCCCACCAAGATTACCAGTAAACCTAACTGGGCACACATTGGACTCGTCCCTTTAATTCGATGTGATAGGTCAAGCATGAATTATACAGTCTCATGGAATTTTGTAATAAAAATGACTGACGCAGGATTTGAAGTAACACGCCGATATCCGAGAAACATGTTGGTAGCCTTAACACGGGTATTATAAGTTACAGTTTGTACAGAACAATCTGATTTAATAACTTTGTTGCATGTTGTTATACCCCAATTATTTGTCACCCCAGAACGGCGGCCCTATAACAAGTTATGCCAACAACTGGCCTTTGAGAGGAGGGAAGCACACGATCTGGGAGGGGGGCACGAGGGGGGCATCATTCATGTACGGCACCGGCTTGAAAAAAACAAAGACAACTTACAATGGGTTTGTACATGTTTTATCTGATCAGCATACTTCAAATGTTGGAAATTTGTTTTTTGTTTTAAGACGTCTAACGGAGTGTTAATGTTGACCTTAACGATTTCTTACCAGTTGACACTCAAAGATATATATGCCTAAAGAAGATCAATCTCATTAAAATCAGACCTCAGTTCTCGCTACCGCTAAACAAAGATCTGAAGACACCCCATTCACGTCTGAACGACCTTTCATCCGACCAATCAGAGCATCGCTTACCAGATTATGAAAATGACAGTCAGAATGTGATTTTTTATCATGCGGCCTCGAAAACTTTAACTCCGAACGATAGTTACGGGTTTAAGGACTGTATCCATACAATCTAGACCATCTGTTAGTCATTCCAGAATGTTCTTTTTGTTCAGGTTTCAAATTTGTAATCGATAATTTGTCAAAATACGTTTCGAAGCGTAGTCGCCAATTTGAATTAGTACCGTAAAGCACGAGAAAGCTGCTTTCTGATTGGTCATTCCATTGGTCGGTCAAAGTTTGCGCAAGGTCGATCTGACGTGACCCGTAATGAGATGTCCTCAGATCTTTGTTTAGCGGTAGCGAGAACTGAGATCTGATTTTAATGAGATTGAAAGAAGATATGACAGATTTAAAAGAGCACCTGTGTTATTACAGAATGATGCATGCTGTAGACTGGAAGCCAACATTGGTGACAGCAGCTGGTGGCACTCCTGGTAATAAAGATTGCCTGTTTGGAGAGCGTCTTACCCACCAATACATGTTTAAATTTCCTTGACACCGAATAAGTGCGCAGCCGTATTAGCCTTTTTAATACCCAATAATACTCTTTGTGTTGGTTAAACATGTAACGAGAAAAATGTAATTTCAGTTAAAATATTCAAACCCTTCTTACCAATGATAATATTACGTCATACAAAAGTCAGGACGTCATTTAACAGCTGAAAGATTTTTATAACAATATTGAATGCCACAATGCGGTTTCAGAATCAATGTCGAATATTAAGACAATATAGTATAACACTATGTTTTCTAGAAATGTCAATTGACGGTATAAGTCACTGGGAATCGATCAGGAATGGGCTTCCTTCGTCAAGGACCGAGTTTATCTACAATCTTGACAACTTTGAACCAGCAATTGAGGGACATGCTGGAATCAGGTAACTGAGTCTGATATAAGGTCACAGATAAGTTTTAACGACCTGATATATTTTGAGTTTATAAGTCATACTTTGTGGAATTAATTGGGTAAAAACTGAATCAATCACAAGAAACTAGCCAATACTCCTGGATACTGACCATTTTTTGGTTACAAATAGTTATAAACATTCGGACATGACAGGGAGTACTCATGCATGGAACCGACTTTTGGGATTTTTGTTTTCGAAAGGATATGTTTTCAGATTGTGCGTTAAAACCTACACTTTATTTTTCAGAACATCGAGCATGTCCATTGAACGTTGTTGTTGTTTTTTCTTTTTGTACCCCCAAAATCTGAATATATAATTGCCGACCCCTATGGGTTTTTTCACAGGGTTGGAGACTACAAGCTGATAATGGGCTACCCAGGTGGACCCGATGGCTGGCCCGAGCCTATGAACAGAACAGAGAGGGATTTTTATATAACCACCATATATGTTGAAGGAGATAGTCCAGTTCATCTGTACAATATACGTGGTGGGTGAAGTAACTATATCTACATATTAAAAATCATACATATTTCAAAAGACTTGTCAAAATATAATTATAATGAAACTTTGCTTAATTGATGTTGCAAATTAAGCACACAGATGCACCCCATTCTGCACATTCAGTCATAATTAATTATCCACACTTCTCCATCTCAGACGATCCAACTGAGCATAACGACCTGGCACAGAAGATGCCGGACATTGTTAACAAACTAAAAGCCCGGATGGATGACTACCGGAAGCAGATGGTCCCAGCTGATTACCCTCCGGCTGATCCTGCTGCAAATCCAAAGAATTTTGGGAACGCATGGACACCGGGATGGTGCTGAGCTTACATCTACCCTTTTCGCGGTCACCTGGGTCCACTTGCACAAAGCGATCTTAGCGCTACAATTATTGTAAATCCTTAAGATCGCGACCTTAGGCTTCGGCTTCAATCGCCATCCACTTGCACAAAGCGATTGTAGGCTAAGATCATTGTAAGCTACAATCGAAACTTACACTTGGACCGGACCAATCTTAAGACTTACGATCACCTTAGCGCTAAGATCACTTTGAGGAACGGGGCCCTGGTGTCATCAGTAATTTTCAGTGATCCATTCCTATAATGTTCATAACTATATTGCCGTTTAGGCAGATAATCGAGACTGGTTATTCTCTGGCGTTGACGTTTTGAACTAAGATGTCATTTCATATGTAGGAAACAAATTTGATTTGTGTAATAATGCGTCCATTGAAGTTAGTGGTGCGAAGGAATCCTTTGAACAATAAATTCATCGTCATAAGCAACAGTTTGTTTGATAAGGTTCAAAAGGAAGAGTACACGTATTGCATGTAAGACATTCCTTGGTGTACAAACAAATACACGTAACAATAATATAACGGTAACGCTATTTTTCAGAGCACTATCATTTGCAGAAGCCCGCGGTCTTCCATTAACTGGCCTACATGTTTCGTAGTCGAATTTAATAATAAGGATTGACTCTAGGATTGTTCGGTTCTTTGTCAATCCTTGAATAAATATTCATCATTGCTAATCAGTACAAACCATGATAAATTCCAGAATCTGTCAATGTTTATTTATCATGCAATGTTACATAGAAAAGATATTACACTTTAGTACAAGTAGTATTGTTATGTAATAATGTTTGCAGTGTACTATAAGCCTGTGGCTTCATGGGTACCGAAATAAATAAATATAATATAAGTTGTAATGTTTCATTTGATACCTTTACTAATGTTGGCGGTGGTGTAGCCTATTGGTCTAAGCGTGGGGGCAGTTGGGTAGCCTAGTGGTTAAAGCGTTCGCTCGTCACGCCGAAGACTCAGGTTCGATTCCAGACATGGGTACAATGTGTGAAGCCCATTTCTGGTGTTCCCCGCCGGGATATTGCTGGGATATTGCTAAAAGCGGCGTAAAACCATACTCACTCACTCACTAACTCACTCACTCACTCACTCACACACTCACTCACTCACACACTCACTCACTCTCGCGTACGTCTCGCCGATGACCCGGGTTCGATTCCCCCATTGGTAGAATGTGTTAAGTCCATTTCTTGTGATATTGCTGGAATATTGCTAAAAGCGGGTTCATTGTTAAAGAAACTACCCTCATGTATGGCAGAGAACCTGCAGGCGACAAGACACACACACACACACACACACACACACACACACACACACAACGCCATTCTCACTGGAACCACGCTGAGGTATGGCTGAAAATCTTTGTTTTAGCTGCAGATGACACGAGAGAGCTGCTCATGTGATGGATGATTGTGTGGCTTTAACTCAATATATCGAATGTATACAGTTGTTAACGGTTATCCTCCTTAATTGTTATATGCAGTCAATCGTAGAATGCTGATAGACTGATGTTTTCATTAGAACAGGTTTTTGTGTGATGTCATTACGTAGTTTTGGACTGTATGAAAATGCAAATAACATCTAAAGTCAGATACTTTGGTCAAAGCGACATAATAAAATATCACCATAAAATATGTCCTTCCTAAGCATTTGTAATAGTTTTCTGTTACATTAACTTTGCCTTTGTTAATAATGTTGCATCACAAAGGAAGGTGACTTTCCTTACATCAGCTATAAACAGAATTAACGTGTTTACAAATAAAAGCAACAACACCCTTTCCATCGTTAATAGAAATCTCCCATCACAAACACATGCAAAGGCAGTTGTTCACCTGAAAAAAACACGGGACCATATGGTACAAGTAGAAATAGGGAACTGCATCGGACATCATTTTCGTCAGTGATTCGTCAAATTTGGAAATGTCCTCCACATACCCTCTACCTTAAAACTTCTTAAAAGCTTTACTGAGGCCTTGAATGTTGTAACCTTGATCAAACAAACAAAAATCAAGTTCCAGTGTCACTTCCAAACTGCACCATCAAAGAAGGAGTTAGTAATTATCATTTAGAAGACAATCATACGGAAGCCTTTTAGGGCCATTTGGTTTTTTAAATTTATTTCGATACAAATTTCAAGATACTAAGTTGAAATTTCAAGATACAGAAGTTAAAATTTCAAGATATTAAGTTGAAATTTTAAGATAATAAGTTGAAATTTCAAGATAATAAATTTCTGTATCTTGAAATTTCAACTTAGTATCTTGAAATTTCAACTTCTGTATCTTGAAATTTCAACTTCTGTATCTTGAAATTTCGACTTAGATTCTTGAAATTTCAACTTCTGTTTCTTGAAATTTCAAGGTAGTATCTTGAAATTTCAACTTCTGTATCTTAAAATTTCAAGGTAGTATCGGAATTTCTTTTCTTAAAAACAAATGGCCCTAAAAGGCTTCCGTACAAACAAGCTGGGCTTGAGATAGTCTAACTGCAGATTAGATACCTACTATTTATATTTTTAAACGATGGCTTTAGTGCAAATGTAAATGGTGATGACCTGGTCGCATGTTCTTTTGTTATCCCACCTATCCCCAACAACGATTTCACAACTGCTTGTTTTGCTTCACTTTCGTTCTAGTTATCTTCAAACCTTAATACTACACAGTGTAGACACATCAACCTGTTAATATGTTTATGTATCTGAACTTCCATGTACCTATTCTCTATTTATCTCGAAAAGTAACCTAATCGTTAAAAACGTTCGCTCATCACGACGAAGGTCCAGGGTCGATTCCCCATATGGGTACAATGTGTGAAACCCATTTCTGGTGTCCCCAGCCATGATATTGCTAGAATATGGCTAAACGCGACAAGAAGTAGTCTTTAAGTAACGTATCGAGTAATGAAGTAGTTGTAAATAACAGTCCTCATGTTCTACGACATTCTTCCAATCAAACAAACGCGACAAAACTCCAATGTAGGTGCAAACAGAGGCGGATACAGCTTATTTGAAAAGGGGGGTTGCACAACTAAGTTCTATTTATTGTCTTTGGTGGTAATTTATACAGAAATAAAGATTTTTTTTCGAAATAAAAAGGGGGCGCACCCCAGGACCCCCCCGTATCCGCCCATGGAAGCACCTCTGGCTTCTGACCAATATGGCGGCGGCCACGTGACTTTATTAGATAGTTTATCAACGTAAATAATATATACAACTCTATTCTATCGGTGGCTCTTTAAAAAGTCACCCCGTTGCCGTTTTAATACATGTCATTTAGGAGTTAAATTATGGCATTTTTTCAATTCCAAATCTAGTCACACACACTGACGCATTGGGCAGAAAACGTCCTCTAAAGTTGACCAGTTTCCTGGCCGACTCTAACTGCAATTTGACAACGCAAAAGTGTCACTGTCAGCTGTCCCCGGACCAAGGCCAAAGACTTCAAGTACAAAGGGTATGACGTCATCATCGCCAGTTATGACGTCATACCTTTTAAGTCGTCTGCAAGTAAGCTGTAAGCTTGGCCCCGTCTCTAAAATCACAATATACAGTTGACGACGCGCATAGGGAGCCGGGAACCAGCTTAGTTAAGCTGGGCCCCGTCCATTATTGTGATATTAGGGACGGGGCCCAGCTTATCAAGCCAGTGTCAAGAACGTCTCAAATATCGCGCATAGAGACAGGAAACCAGTTAAAAAAGCCAGACTGGTTTGACTAAATTATTCTGTGCGCTCTTTTATAGACGGATCCAAGTTTAGTGTGCGGGTGGAAAAGACGAAATCGTTCTTTAAATTGGTGGTTCGGATTATGTAAAGGAAAATGACAGTGAATTCGCACCTTTTAAGTGGAAAACATCATATAAATACTTTCCTTTGGTCCCCAGAGGTATGTTACATATTAAATTGTACTTGATTTATATTAGTAGAAAAGATATCACAGCCTATCAGTGTGGCTGTAAATCTGTAATCACTTTCCCTCACTACTTAATTGAGTAATTATCACGGAACTGCAAGCGATAATCCCCACCTAAACAAATTGCCCTGTGAATCCCTAATCCACAATAAGTTGACACGGAGGTCATCTCGCTAATGCATGAGCTTTTGTTTGGGTAACAAGAAAATATACAACCAAATGCGATCAGAAGAGTGTCATGAAGAACGTGCGGTAGGCACGTGACACGCAAGTGGGATTTGGTTCAATAGAGAATATTTCCTTGTCCCTTCATTTTCTACTGTATGTGAACTGTCCCTTCATTCAGTCATTGCATAATACATACACAATTATGTTTTATATTTACCCGGTCTATTTATTAAATCTCTTCATTTTTCACACACGCCCCGTTTGAACATACAAAAACATTTTATAAATTCTAGCGATGTTATCCTCAGTATCAGTTTACCAACTCCAAATCTTTCTAAAGAGGAAGCTTCATTTTTCTCTTTGAAAAATATGCGTCCTTCATAGTTGTTATCCTTAACAAAATTACAGTTGTTTTTTTAAATGAAAAATGCCATACTCCTTTAGTTTGGGTATTACTTTTTAGTTTGAGGGTTTGTTTAATTACCTTCATATTTTTGGGTTAGATTATATAAATACATTTTCACATATTAGGGCAACGAGTTTTATTACTTTCCTATTTTAGGGCTAGTTTTATCCTATGTAGGCCTAATATTACCAAACAAGCTTAAGGTGCACGCCGACTAGCAACATGTAGAGCAAGCACAGGTCGGAGTCCCTCTTGTCCAATATCCCGCAGTGAGATGTTTTCAAAACATCCGCAGCACACTGTAACCATTTGATTTCTATTTTGTGCAAAAAAAAATTAAATCAGCCACCATCTGCTTGAAAAGACATAACTCAGCCTCCATAAAAAGTCTCGTACAGAGTATCTAGTGAGCAAAGCCATAATCTTTCACAAAGACATCACCATGAGAGACAATATATATCTGTAAGCCTAATTGATTAATAATCATTTCAAATCTTTCCTGGTCAGACGCTCTACCCATTCCACTAGACCACGGCGGCGGTAAGGACTATGGAGATGTATATGGTATGACGCGACCGGGATCGAACCCCGACCTTCCGCTCTGAGGTCAGACGCTCTATCTATCCAGTAGACCACGGCGGCGGTAAGGTGAGTGAGTGAGTGGGGGGGGGGACACCAGAAATGGGCTTCACACATTGTACCCATGTCGGGATTCGAACCCGGCGTGACGAGCGAACGCTTTAACCACTAGGCTACCCGACCGCCCCACGGCGGTAAGGACTATGGAGATATACATGTATTTGGTATGAGGTGACCGGGGATCGAACCCCGACCTTTCTCTCTGTTGTCAGACGCTCTATCTATTCCACTAGACCACGGCGGCAGTAAGGACTATGGAGATAGACATGTATTTGGTATGACGTGACCGACCGGGGATCGAACCCCGACCTTCCGCTCTGAGGTCAGACGCTCTATCTATTCCACTAGACCACGGCGGCAGTAAGGACTATGGAGATAGACATGTATTTGGTATGACGTGACCGGCCGGGGATCGAACCCCGACCTTTCTCTCTGTTGTCAGACGCTCTATCTATTCCACTAGACCACGGCGGCAGTAAGGACTATGGAGATAGACATGTATTTGGTATGACGTGACCGACCGGGGATCGAACCCCGACCTTCCGCTCTGAGGTCAGACGCGCTATCTATTCCACTAGACCACGGCGGCAGTAAGGACTATGGAGATAGAGATGTGTTTGGTATCAGAGGCCTTATGGCCAACACTACACATGTTACACACCAGAACTTGTGCACTTGTTGAGGAACAAATCTAGACAATATCACATAACATCTAAGATCCGTGAAGATCCGGGAAAGAATGGGTGTTCATAAGAGGCGACTTATAAGATCGGGTGGTCAGACTAGAGAATTATTTTTTTGAGCAACCCATGCTTGTCGTAAGAGGTGACTAACGGGATCGGGTGGTCAGACTCGCTGACCTAATTGATGCATGTTATCGTATCCTATTTGCCTAGATCCATGCCAGTCACTGGATTGTCTGGTCCAGACTCGATTATTTACAGACCGCCGCCATAGAGCTGGAATACTGCTTACAACTTATTTGAAGAAGAATAACGATTATCTACCTCCCATGAAACAATGTTGAAGGTTACAATATTAGTGAGTGAGTGAGTGAGTGAGTGAGTGAGTGAGTATGGTTTTACGCCGTTTTTAGCAATATTCCAGCAATATCACGGCGGGGGACACCAGAAATGGGCTTCACACATTGTACCCATGTCGGGAATCGAACCCGGGTCTTCGGCTTGTTACTATATTAACTCGCTACAGATAATCTGTATTTTTTCATAGTTCGTAGGTTATTAACTAAACGTCAGTTTATAGAAAACTATAATATACTGATGGAAATAAACAAGGGAACGGTATTCAGGGAAGCACCTGTTGGATGTGTCATCCTGTTAAATCATCCTCAGTTGTGGCGGATGGATGCTGATGGGCATTGTCTTATGTTTGATCAGCTGAGTGAGTGAGTGAGTGAGTGAGTGAGTGAGAGTGAGTGAGTGAGTGAGTGAGTGAGTGAGTGAGTGAGTGAGTGAGTGAGTGAGTGAGTGAGTGAGTGAGTGAGGTTTTACCCTGCTTTTAGCAATATTCCAGCAATATCACGGCGGGGAACACCAGAAATGGGCTTCACACATTATATCCATGTGGGAACTGAACCAGGGTCTTCGGCGTGACGAGCAAACGGGTTAACCACTGGGCTACCCCACCTCGTCTGTAATACAGACCCTGAAACAAATATATCCAACAAAGCCCATGCACGTCTATAATATTGGGCAAGTCTAGAGTACTGCAGTATCAGTATCTGAAAATGAAGAAAGTCATGGCTACTTTTGATTCTATTTTATAACTACAATTTAACAACTATTTTTTATTGTAAAATATGTTCATTTCAGACTAGAGGCGAGTCTACCCACCGTCCTGATGTTATCAGTATCTGCTTCTACTCATATGAGGGGGATGGTATGTTTTGTTTGCACGCTGTGCTGTCGAGCCATGTTTGTTTGTTGTTTAACGCTGCTCACAGCAATATTAGAGCTATATGAGGGACGTCTGTAAATAATCTGGACCAGACAATCCAGAGAATGACATCATGAGCATTACGCAATTGTATCTATAGTAATAATCTCACTCCAGTTGTGAGCATGTATATTCATGGTAATGACGCTGTTGAGGATGGTCATGATGTTGCTGATGCTGATGATGTCGATGATAACGTGGATGTGCGTTGATGAATAACTAATAAAGTACCCCAGTGTGTTGTGTTGTAGTTTTGTATGTTGTGAGTGACTGAGCTGGATTTATCAGGCTTTTAACAACATTCCAGTTATATCAGCTTAATGTGGGAGGAGAGCCCGAAGTGATGCAGGTCTCAGGCGTTCACCACTTTGGTTAAACCCAAGGTGCTATAAAGCTAGAAACATAATTGGGGCGAACCGGGATTCAAACGCACAATCATAGGTTTCTGGCGTGCCAAAGGGACGCAACACTGCACAGCAAATCGCGGCGCCTTAGACGACTGGGTTACCCGTGGCCCCTCTTAATCATGAAATCTCTTTGGAACAGTTTTGAACTTCTGAAGAATGTTTTACTGCAAATAATAGTCTAAATCATACTTGCTGGCTGTGGGTTTGTTTATACACACAGAGTAACAAAAACAAAGTCATTTGAAAAATTGGCACTTTATTGCTCAATCATCATGGCAACACATTCAATAATTCAGACAATACACCACCCTCTCTATTAACATGCATCCATGAGCCTCTCGTTCTTCCACATCCTCACTAACTCACACACGCACATGCAAAGTTCAGAATATCAACAGCAAACTGCAAACTGTCACATTCGGACAAAATAATCTAAAATAGATGACATCCATACAAATATAGAATTGTGGTCAGTTTTATAACATTGTCAAACACAGGCATGGCTGACCAAACCACATCTGATCTCTGGGTTGGGTCAAAGTACTTGTTTACTTGCTGTAGTTAGTTAATGTAACTTCTTTCATTTGTTTGTCCCACTTTCTCAATTCTTTCATGAAGTACCAACACCTCGATGCAGCTCTTCCCCAGCAAAATCCTTGACTGGAACTGAGAGAGATGGTCTAATGCTGTTTGGAACTGTATCTCGGTCACACCTCAGTTGTCAACTTAATGTAAGACATGTCGTACTTTGAATCAACACACGAGCGAGCACTGGCAAGATACTGAAAACAAAAGCTCCTAATCATGGTGCTTCCTCCTCTTTAGAAAAATAGTTCAAAATTTAAACCAGAAATCAAACAATAGTTATCTTTTAAGTAATGCGTTAAGATCTTAAATAGGCAACTTAATCCAAATATATAACAGATTACGAACTTGAAGACAAGACATCTGAATGTATAAACAAAGCTTACTATTTTGATAACATTAAGTAATTCACTATTTTATGATCAATTCCAAAGGCAGGAAGTATTCTATAATCCAAGGCATTGGTACTCCATCAGAAAGACTGGTTCAACACAAACATCATAAATAGGAGACAACCCATACTCACTGTCTAGGACACGTGGTAATGATGTCTGACTGATCAAAACAGACAAAGCTCAGCATGGCGCAAGGGAGATAACTGGCAAAACAGGGGAAGTAACTGGAGCCGATTTTGCATAATGCCGCTACTAACGTTGGATTGTTCATGTTGGGCATCAAAACCTTTTTTACACAGATAACAAAAGTTACCTAACTTTGAGAGAATGAAAATGATATAGATTACAGCTGTAATTCAAAATTACTGCAGGCTTTTCAGACCTACATTTAATGAGCAACACCATCTTAAGACATTAATGAAAAGAAACAGATGTACATAGGAAAGAAATAGGTGATTAGCAATTTTGAAATTCAGAAAAATTGACTCACAAAGTAATGATAAAGGATGTAAATGAACATCTTGGAGCATTCAACCTGAAAGTATGTATCAACATGTTCACACTTATGTAATCTGACATTTATACTTGACATGGTATTGGTGAACCGAAACGTGCTCAAGTCTGTTTCATACAATAGACATTTCTGCAGTAGAGTACAAGTAGTATTTTCAATGAATTAGGATTACAATGAATCAACAAAATAACAGTTCCATCACAGCAGGAAGTCGCTTGTCAAGCCATGAGACTGACATAAACAGGCAATCAAACTAGGAAGTATCCATACTTGGACATTGTGGCAGCCTGATACAAGTTGCTCCTAGCAACAAGCTGGGGGACCTTGTGGCAGCCTGATACAAGTTGCTCCTAGCAACAAGCTGGGGGGACCTTGTGGCAGCCTGATACAAGTTGCTCCTAGCAACAAGCTGGGGGACCTTGTGGCAGCCTGATACAAGTTGCTCCTAGCAACAAGCTGGGGGACCTTGTGGCAGCCTGATACAAGTTGCTCCTAGCAACAAGCTGGGGGACCTTGTGGCAGCCTGATACAAGTTGCTCCTAGCAACAAGCTGGGGGACCTTGTGGCAGCCTGATACAAGTTGCTCCTAGCAACAAGCTGGGGGACCTTGTGGCAGCCTGATACAAGTTGCTCCTAGCAACAAGCTGGGGGGACCTTGTGGCAGCCTGATACAAGTTGCTCCTAGCAACAAGCTGGGGGACCTTTTGGCAGCCTGATACAAGTTGCTCCTAGCAACAAGCTGGGGGACCTTGTGGCAGCCCGATACAAGTTGCTCCTAGCAACAAGCTGGGGGACCTTGTGGCAGCCTGATACAAGTTGCTCCTAGCAACAAGCTGGGGGACCTTGTGGCAGCCTGATACAAGTTGCTCCTAGCAACAAGCTGGGGGACCTTGTGGCAGCCTGATACAAGTTGCTCCTAGCAACAAGCTGGAGGACCTTGTGCAGCCTGATACAAGTTGCTCCTAGCAACAAGCTGGGGGACCTTGTGGCAGCCTGATACAAGTTGCTCCTAGCAACAAGCTGGGGGACCTTGTGGCAGCCTGATACAAGTTGCTCCCAGCAACAAGCTGGGGGGTCCTCCTGAGTGGGGACAGTTCCTACATAGGTAAGAGTGCATGTCTATCGTTTTGCTTAAAGCTTCTTTCCATCTGCATCTCAACTGCAGACTGAGTGAGTGAGTGAGTGAGTTAAAGTTTAACGTCACATCGGCAATATTTCAGCCATATCGTGACGAAACAAAACTGCACACTAAAAACATGACTCTAAATATGCAGAACTTGTTACCGGAATCCTGATTGTTCAAAGGACATAGATTCAGTTACGCCTGTTGTATCATAGTCAAAAGCTGTGATCTTATCCATATTATGCACTTCTAAGCAGTACAGCTAAAACCAATTTAATTTAGACTTCAGTGAAACAGACCTAGCTTTTAGCAAATATAAATCACAATGTGTGACAGAAGGCATCAACACAGCAAGGGTTAAAAAATATTTACACTCTGCAATTGACCCATGAGAACAATCAGAGATAAGCCAAAATAGTGTCACATCGATTCAGTATTTTTTCTGATATTTATCCTTGTTCCACATGCTTACAGTATCATGTATTACAGATCATAGATGCTAGTATTCAGGAATACTGGTTAGGTGTACTTTATCATCCTAGAGCCAACTATATCAAAAGTATCCATCGTAATGTGACGGCCACTGTTCAGACATTCCAACATAGAACAGTAACTCGACTAGTTACATATACACCTGAAAAAAAGTAAAGCACTGCTTACTATACTCCTATTAAAAAAGAGTTAAAGAACATCCAAATGTTTTTAAATGACTATAGCTCATGTCAAAGCCATGACACATTAACCATAGTCATATAAAACAATCAGGTGTTGTTTAACTTCTTTTGAGTACTATATATATTTCAACATGAAACAGCCATGTCTGTATATCAGACCCTGTAATAAATTTCCAAAGTTAAATCCTCATATTAGCAAAAGTAAAACTGATTATGTTATGCACTTTGTAGCTATTCCATGGCAACAGATGCACTTAAGTTCGGAATATAGGACAAGAAAGACTGGGTGGTGATTAACTTTTTTCAAGGTGTATATTTTAAAAATAAATATTGCAATGTTACATAAGTCCGGAACCACATCTTTTAACCCTTGCAGTATCAATGGCTGATAACATGACATGTATACTGTGTATGTCATTGAACTCCAACAATACAATCCTGACATCATTCAGGCAAGAGATGCTGTACATTATGCATAGTTTAATTGGAAACATCTTTGTTGGAGATAGGAGTGTTGTGACAGCAGAGATTCTGCTCCTAGCTACTGGGTGAGGTGGAATCTTCATGGAACGTGTGTTGACACACACAGCAGCCCAGGAACTGGCTCAAGGTACTTACAAGCTTGTAGAATGACACCATTAAGAATTAATCAATAACATAATATTTAAGATATGACGGAGTCTTCTAATAAACATTTTGAAAATGTAATTTCCCCTCAAAGTGAATTAATATATGAGCTGCTACAATGATGTACATTTGGCAACATCCTGAGTGGACTACTTTATCTGTTGAACACTGATTCTATTAAGATGTTTGTGAGATGAGATATTGGCCAAAAGACAGTAAGAATCCATTTAAATAGATGCCATGTAGGCAGTTCTATGTAAATGGACACACACTGCCTTCAATAAATCCATTACCGACATTATCATCCATGGAAATCTGAACTCTCGATATTCTTGACATCACAAACCAAACAACACGTTCCGAGTCTGTTTGTTTTGCTGTATATTTTGTCTGAGTCAACTGTGTCGTGTCTGGAGACACAGCAGAATTCTTGTCTTCATATTTCAGCGACTGCGTTAAGCTATTACCGATGGGATTTCATTCATGTAACACCCAAATTCATTCAAGTATAACATCGTTACATAAATATCTAGATCGTTAAATTCGGTGCAATATGTTGGATTGAATTAAGTCAGGTTATTGCTATGATAGCAGCTTGATGGAACAGAGAATAATCTCTCTGAATAGCAAAGCCTAAAGTTTAAATTGTGTTTTACTGGTAACTACATAATAATTAAAAAACAACAAATCTCACTTCGGTCAACTTATGTGAAGCAGAGAACCTGTATAAAAGCCATGTATCCGGTTTGGATAATTATGCGATAACAATAAAAGTATGTTAAGAAATGCAGAAACTATTCAGGTTATCCTGGGCTTCATAAAGACTTAACATTGTGATCCCTGACAAATTCAGTTAAAATTCATCGTGCTTAAGTACTTGTTTTCTCTGGAACAATATTTTCACTAAAGAAACCAACACGCAATTAAAATAACAAAGGCACAAGCACCTTCTCAATATTAGATTGAAGAAAGAATGTATTGACATGGGACACTGGCCGCCTCCAGGACACATGGCAAAGAGAGGCCTCGAGTTGCATCATCGCTGTCATGTTGCATCTCACCAAGCAGCAGAAGCGGTCCATGACTCACCAACGTCGTTTTCAACTATCGACTTTCTTCAGATTTCTTTCCTCTTTGTTACTTTCCCTGTTGTGCAGCACCCTCTGACGATGGAAAATAGTATTTAGTATCACAGATATTTGCTTCAGGTTTGGACTATGTGTTGGCTGGGACGACCCGATCACAGCGTTGGAGGAATCCTGACCGGGTCCATCCTTCACCAAGCATATTCCATCACCAACAGGCAGATAGTCAGTGGTGTCCACCCGATCTACTTTCAATGGGGTACAGAAGTCTGTTGCTGAACAGTCACATCAGCCAATCAGTTGTTGAGGCACCAGCATTGGAGTTGGCGTCATCTGAATCAATCCACTATATACTAGCACACCAGTTAGTCACCATTCTCGTTCAATATCTGTGCCAAGACTGAAATCTGGAGGACAATTTTGCAAGTAACAAGCAATGAGGATATCATCTCAAATCTTGACTGGGCTGTGTCCAGCTTTGCAAACAGCAGGTCCAACATTGCAACAATCTCGGCAACAGAAAGTAAAGGAAAGACCACATTTCATAGCACCAATGTTCAGTCCACATTCTCGATCTCGCCAGCGTTGACCCGTGTGGGGTCAGCATGGACCGTGAAGCCAAGGATGCTCTTGTCAATCTTCTGCATCTTGCCCTTCTTCTTCTTGTTCTTGTTGCGGGCTGCCGACTCAGCATCATTGTTGTTGCTGGACCGGACCTCCTTCGGGTTGACTGCAGGTGCTGGGCCCCAAATACTGTCCTGTAAATAACAGGTATAATACTGTCCTGTAAATAACAGGTATAATACTGTCCTGTAAATAACAGGTATAATACTGTCCTGTAAATAACAGGTATAATACTATCCTGTAAATAACAGGTATAATACATACTGTCCTGTAAATAACAGGTATAATACCATCCTGTAAATAACAGGTATAATACTGTCCTGTAAATAACAGGTATAATACTGTCCTGTAACAAAATGCTCTTCTCTTTATAAGTTCAAAGGCCTTTTAGCAGACATTGAAGGCAATTATGTAAACCTAAGCATAAAAGCTCTTCATTCATACTGGTCATATTGTCATCCCTGGTGTCAGGGTACCCACCCCCTCCTAGTGTCAGGGTACCCACCCCTCCTGGTGTAAGATACATCCCTGGTGTCAGATACATCCCTGGTGTCAGGGTACCCACCCCCTCCTTGTGTCAGATACATCCCTGGTGTCAGGGTACCCACCCCCTCCTGGTGTCAGATACATCCCTGGTGTCAGGGTACCCACCCCTCCTAGTGTCAGATACACCCCTGGTGTCTGGGTACCCACCCCTCCTAGTGTCAGATACACCCCTGGTGTCAGGGTACCCACCCCCTCCTGGTGTCAGATACATCCCTGGTGTCAGGGTACCCACCCCTCCTGGTGTCAGATACACCCCTGGTGTCTGGGTACCCACCCCTCCTGGTGTCAGATACATCCCTGGTGTCAGGGTACCCACCCCCTCCTGGTGTCAGATACATCTCTGGTGTCAGGGTACCCACCCCTCCTAGTGTCAGATACACCCCTGGTGTCTGGGTACCCACCCCTCCTGTGTCAGATACATCCCTGGTGTCAGGGTACCCACCCCTCCTAGTGTCAGATACATCCCTGGTGTCAGGGTACCCACCCCCTCCTGGTGTCAGATACATCCCTGGTGTCAGGGTACCCACCCCTCCTAGTGTCAGATACACCCCTGGTGTCTGGGTACCCACCCCTCCTAGTGTCAGATACACCCCTGGTGTCTGGGTACCCACCCCTCCTGGTGTCAGATACATCCCTGGTGTCAGGGTACCCACCCCTCCTGGTGTCAGATACACCCCTGGTGTCTGGGTACCCACCCCTCCTGGTGTCAGATACATCCCTGGTGTCAGGGTACCCACCCCCTCCTGGTGTCAGATACATCTCTGGTGTCAGGGTACCCACCCCTCCTATTGTCAGATACACCCCTGGTGTCTGGGTACCCACCCCTCCTGTGTCAGATACATCCCTGGTGTCAGGGTACCCACCCCTCCTAGTGTCAGATACATCCCTGGTGTCAGGGTACCCACCCCCTCCTGTTGTAAGATACATCCCTGTTATCAGGGTACCCACCCCCTCCTGTTGTAAGATACATCCCTGTTATCAGGGTACCCACCCCCTCCTGTTGTAAGATACATCCCTGTTATCAGGGTACCCACCCCCTCCTGTTGTAAGATACATTCCTGTTATCAGGGTACCCACCCCCTCCTGTTGTAAGATACATCCCTGTTATCAGGGTACCCACCCCCTCCTGTTGTAAGATACATCCCTGTTATCAGGGTACCCACCCCCTCCTGTTGTAAGATACATCCCTGTTATCAGGGTACCCACCCCCTCCTGTTGTAAGATACATCCCTGTTATCAGGGTACCCACCCCCTCCTGTTGTAAGATACATCCCTGTTATCAGGGTACCCACCCCTCCTAGTGTCAGATACATCCCTGGTGTCAGGGTACCCACCCCTCCTAGTGTCAAACACACCCCTGGTGTCAGGGTACCCACCCCCTCCTGTTGTAAGATACATCCCTGTTATCAGGGTACCCACCTCCTCCTGTTGTCTCTCTAGTCTGGCCTTCTGCTTATACTGGCTCCGTTTCTCCAGGAACTGCCGACCAAACTCCTTTGCAGCACCAGACTCACCAAGGTACGACCTCACATAATCATGGACCTGTGGCACAAAATATCTAACAGTATATACAAGTGATTCATTTGGAGACTTAGATCTGTTATAACAGGAGTTGTCTGCCAAATTGAGTCTCATACAAAATCAGACCTTCATTAATGAAACAATAATAGACACACATTGTGAGTGTTTAATGCCGCAATCAGCAATATTTCAGCTATAGACGGGTCTGTAAATAATCAAGTCTGGACCAGACAATCCAGTGATTGACATCATGAGCATCAATCCACACAATTGGGATACAATGACATGCATCAACCAAGTCAGCAAGCCTGACCACCCTATCCCGTTAGTCGCTTCTTACGACAAGCATAGTCACCTTTTACGGCAAGCATGGACATTGTGAGAGAGTTAGGTTCAACATCCCCTGGAATACTATTTCAGTCACATGCCATACTAAAACTAATGAACGTTTGTATGTTGTTCAACACACTCAATATACCAGCTTTACCATGGTGGCCTCAAATAATCGAGTCATCGCATCACGATACAGAGATTTGTAGGACCTGGTGGATCCAAGCAGCTGATCCCACCATGCACCAGTAACCATGGTAACGGATACAAAGTAGGACTTGTATCAATGTTTATGATAATAGGGAAGAGAATGTATGGATGTAAACTTTTTATCATGAGGAACACAACATTTCGGAATACATGCTTACTCCTTCATCAGGTGAATGATACTGCATCGTCTCCATCTTGATGTTGTATCAAGTCTTTGAAAGGCATTTAGAAGTGATACACATAAGGAAGAGAACTTATGGATGTCAACTTCTTTAATATTTATTTATGATAACAGACCACAATTCCTACCTCATATGGAGAATCAACCTCTTGCAGAAAGGCAATGAATGTTGGAACTGAAAAATAGAATTGTTGAATAAACATCTGTAACAACATGAACAAAGTGATATTCCAAAACACATCCTTCATTGTAAGCAACAGATCCTACAAGTTGCTCGTTACAAGAACTTCGGAGGGGATTCCAGTCTGGTTTTGTTCATACTTCTCACAATTCAAAACCGGAAATTGAAACTAAGAGAGTGAACATGATTCCAGTCATAATTGAAAGAGGAAGGGAAAGAACAATATGTGAGTGAGTGAGTTAATATTTAACGCCCCCTCGGCAATATTTCAGCCATATCGTGAAGAGAAGTTATACGTTAAGAATACATATATTTAGATTAAATCGATGTACAGTAAAATAACTGGACTATCACAGATTAATATTTAAAACTAGCATACAGCCAAAAACAGATATCACTCTTTGTAACGATACACCAGCTGAAGGTGGATCCCCATGCTAGGGTCCATGGGGACTTACAGTACCTTTGCTGCCTGCATGGACCCCAGCCAGATTTACACCATCCCTTCAGGCTATTGATCTCCAACAACTGAAGGTGGATCCCCATGCTAGGGTCCATGGGGACTTACAGTACCTTTGCTACCTGCATGGACCCCAGCCGGATTTACACCATCCCTTCAGGCTATTGATCGCCAACAACTGAAGGTGGATCCCCATGCTAGGGTCCATGGGGACTTACAGTACCTTTGCTACCTGCATGGACCCCAGCCGGATTTACACCATCCCTTCAGGCGTTGGCAATTAGTGTCAAATTTAGCCACAGTTAAATTAACACATATTCTACGATAAAAAATGTGACAGAGAAAAATGACTTTGTATGACAAGATACAGGCAGTAGACATTTATAATCTCAATGAAAGATACCAGCATAGATGATGACTGAGGTGAACCTGGTATATGAACCCTTTATAACATTATCCTGGGCAGACTTAGGTACAGAACTCTACAGTGAATTGCCTTGCTTTATACCACTGTGAGTGATTGAGTGAGTGAGTGAGTGGTTCAAAGCCCCTTTTAGCAATATTCCAGCAATATCACAGGGGGATATACCAGAATTGGGCTTCACATATAGTCCCCATGTGGGGAATTCGAACCCGATTATTCAGTGTGAAGAGCGATCGCTTTAACCAGTGGGCTACCCCACCACCCCATCTTTAAGAGTGAGGTGTATTTTTTACTGCTTTCAGTTTCACCAGCAGTTCACTTAAATAATGTCATGTCAACTGAAAGCGTGAGGAAAAGAGCAAAAGACACAGAAAGTAGATGTGTCCCGCTTCGGTAAAAGCCATGAGCAGGGATCAGATTCAAGGTGGACCTGGAATATGAGCCTGCAATTAGCGGATCCTGGCATGACAAAGGGACGTAACTCCCATGTCACCCACTCCCCAGATTAACATAGGCAAGTTTTCACATGACCTACCATCCACTGATGATGCGAGTCCTGCGAGTGCCTTCTCACACCACTGAGTGAAATCGTCAACAGGCCTTGCTAACTGAAACATCTTGTGCACAGCATCCTGCAACACAAATTATTTCTCATATCAAACAACTATAACAATAACCATAATAAAACCATATCAGGATAAGAATAAAATGCACAAAATATTCAAATTTCTGTGATATCTAATGTATAGATGTACAAATAAATTTTAAATTTCTTCCACTACCGCTAAGTACATCAGAAACTAATGTACACTTCGTGGAGAGGGTCAAACTGCTTTCTTATACAGACGCCTTGAGTGAGTGAGAATGGCTTTACGCCGCTTTTAGCAATATTCCAGCAGTATCATGGCGGGGGACACCAGAAATGGACTTCATACATTGTACCCATGTCGGGAATCGAACAAGGGTCTTCGGCATGATGAGCGAACGCTTTAACCACAAGGCTACCCCACTAGAGAGGCCTGTAGTGTGATTGAGCTATGCTTAAAGTCACTTAGAACACCATGAACACAATGGGTCCTAATATGGATTCCAGCAGACAATCAGCACAACAAGTTGTGCACCTGTGCCCCACAGATCTCTTGAGTGAGTGAGTGAGTGAGTGAGTGAGTGAGTGAGTGAGTGAGTATGGTTTTACGCCACTTTTAGCAATATTCCAGCAATATCAGGGCTGGAGACACCAGAAATGGGCTTCACACATTGTACCCATGTCGGGAATCAAACCCAGGTCTTCGGCGTGACGAACGAACGCTTTAACCACTAGGCAACCCAACTGCCCCCATATCTCTTGAAGAGAAACTAGACTTTGTGGATCATTATAGACAGGAGAAGATTACAGTGAAGATGTAAATATAAAGTGCTAGCCTTCATACACGTTGTGAATGCTCAAAGTGCTAGTGTTAGCACATATAATACTCAGATTAGCTGAGATTTGAACATGTCCAAAGTTTAATGCTCAGAGGTAGTCAGTTTCACAATTCTGGGGAGGCAACACTGAAAGATTTTTCATATTTTGTGAGTTTGTAGTGTTTAATTGATAAGGATGTTGATTTTCTGAGCCCCGAGACCCAGGGGCTTGTCCTCAGCCAGGAACTTGATGATCAATGGTGGTGTTAGGCCATGCGGTCTCTTATACATGAGGCGGAGTACTTTGAACACTGTCTGGCCTAAACCTTCAGCCAGAGAAGTGACATCACGACTGGTGCAGTGTGGGAATATTTTGCTTACCTCCTCTTTCTTTGGTTTTGTCTGTCTGTTGCGGTTTGCAGTAGCGGCGGCAGCTGCTGCTGCTGCCGCTGCAGCTGCAGATGCATTAGTCGTTGCATTATTGTTTTGTTGGTTTCGTTTCTTGCCCCCTAACGCAGGAAACTCACCACTGAAAAAGTGTGGACTTGAGTGAGACACATGGAAAGTAAATACACATACCTCCACACACTGAACAACTGAAGAGACCTATCGTCAAGACTGTGCAGGGTTTATGGTTTTGTTATGTTCAAACAATGAAACAAAAATGTAGAAATAGAGGATTGTTTTGTTGGTCAGATTCACTTCAAAATTATTGAGTACACTTGCTCACATCACATGAAGTGATCTACACCCCTAGATCAACATACAGGTCCCCAATCCACAGTTGTGAGTCTTTGGTAAATCCTATAGACGTACGATAGTCGATAGTCGTAGCACTACAAACATTGGACTTGGGGCTCAGGTCATTAAGTAAGGAAGGAGTATGGTCTTAAGCCGCTTTTAGCAATATTCCAGCAATATTACATCGGGGGACACCAGAAATGGGCTTCACACATTGTAACCATGTGGGGAATCGAACCGGGGCCTTCGGCGTGACGAGCGAACACTTTAACCACTAGGCTACCCCACTGCCTCTAGGTCATTAAGTACACATACATTTGTCTTGTGCTTCTATCATTCTGTAAGCACGATCAGGAGCTGCTATTTCTCACCAACCTTTCTTTCTCTTTGGTTGCTGCCCTTCCTGAAGATATCACAGCCTCATCCCAGAACCCCAGGCCCCCCCCTGACTTGTCCGTCTTCCACACAGCGTTCCCCCCCCACCCCGTGGACTGAGCACCATTGCTGGCCACGTTGCTCCACATGCTAGGTGTAGCCATGGTGGCAGCTGTATTCTGGGGAGAGAGGAAGCAGGTCTCAGTATCATCTGACAAACAAACTCGTTTAATTTTCTTTAACTTCTCTTCAGTCCTGAGAGTATTATTCAGGGCTCCAGCATTCTTTAGGACATTTTCTTTCCGACATGTTATCATTCACTTTGGGTTCTGATAGTTATCTTTGGGTTTGCAAAATATTTAAACTCCCTTGCAGGGATAGAGTGAGTGAGTGTGTATGGTTTTACGCCGCTTTTAGCAATATTCCAGCAATATCACGGCGGTTAATTTAATACTGATGAGTGAACCTTCAGCAACCCATGCCTACCGTAAAAGGCGACTATGCTTGTCGTAAGAGGCGACTAACGGGATCAGTTGGTCAGGTTGGTTGATGCATGTCATCGTTTGTTTGTTTGTTGTTTAATGCTGCACTCAGCAATATTCCAGTTATATAATGGTGGTCTGTTAATAATCGAGTCTGGACCAGACAATCCATTTTTTTATATCATGAGCATCAATCTACGCAATTACCATACGATCAACCAAGTCAGTGAGCCTTATCACCCGATCCCATTTGTCGCCTCTTATGGCAAGAAAGGGTCGCTGAAGACCTATTCCACCCCGGATCTTCACAGGTGCATGTCACCATATATAAGTTGCCTGGATCTATGTTAATGATGTTAATCACTGGATTGTCTGGCCCAGACTCCCATTATTTACAGACCACCGTCATGTAGCTGGAATATTGTTGAATGAGGCGTTAAACAACACAACAAACAAACAACAAGATATCACAGGACACAAAGCCATGTCACACATCCGATTGTCATCTAAGTCGTCTCTTAGGACAAACAGAGTACTAGTGATCTATTCAGATGTCTCTCTAGGAGGTAGTGACCTATTCAGACCTGTCTCTCTAGGAGGTAGTGACCTATTCAGACCTGTCTCTCTAGGAGGTAGTGACCTATTCAGACCTGTCTCTCTAGGAGGTAGTGACCTATTCAGACCAGTCTCTCCAGGAGGTAGTGACCTATTCAGACCAGTCTCTCTAGGAGGTAGTGACCTATTCAGACCTGTCTCTCTAGGAGGTAGTGACCTAGTCAGACCTGTCTCTCTAGGAGGTACAGTACCATGTGGATTGTGATGCTGCATACCTTGGGCGGAGTGGGCTGAACTTGTTTGGCTTTCTTCTTGTTTTGGTCTAACTGTTTGGCTTTCTGTTCCTCCTGAATGTCCAGCAGTGACTTCAGTGTGTTCGTTGCAGCCTGGTTCACCGTCCTGTAACAGTGTCATCATACAGTGGAGGATCTCTCCTATACTCATGCCATGAAACAAGAGACAGACGTAGCAGGAACACTCTGCGGAACCAACGAGAATGGGGATGGTGCTGACAACCCAGGGGTGATGAGGGGGTGATGAGGTGGTGATGAGATGTAACGTGACTATAAGCCTAATGCCTCAGACAGCTTAGGTCGTATACTCCCCAGGGAGATGAGAATGGGGATGGTGCTGACAACCCAAGGGGTGATGAGATGTAATGTTACTATTAGCCTTGAGCCTAGTGCTTGGGTAGTATACTCCCCTGGGAGATGAGAATGAAAATCACATGCACACGGATTCACTGACCAGGGGAATAATATAAGGGTAGCTCTATTTTCCAGGGCATAATCATTTGCAGAAGCCTGAGGTCTTTTATTAACGGCCCGACAAAGGAGCATTATAAATCAACTTATTTTTATTGTTATGATGATCACAGCTTGCTAACTTGTCTTCAATCTGGAACAGGTTGAAGTGTGCAATCAATCTAATAACCTTACACCGACTACCCCCATTGTGACCACCTGCAAGGTTCCAACTTAAATGGGCAACAATGACAGTGAATGTATCAGGGAACATTTCTTTTACCACAATTGATTGGAGTGATGAGTGAGTGAATTTTGTCTTCAGCTGTTGTTAGCAATATTCCAGCGATATCGCAACAGCCTGTAAATAATCAAGTCTGAGTTAGGAAAACCTGAGCTTGATTGGATGGGCATCAAAACGCTGCTGTTGAGATACCATGTTGTTATTGTCTGAATATGCTGGCTGTGATTTTTAACAGTGTGGTTTTGCACAATTTCTATACATACTGGGTGTTGAGAAGGGGGCGACTTACATTTGTGCTCCCCATGACTTCTGCTGTTGCTGTTGTTGCTGCTGCTGCTGTTGTTGGATGGCAAACATTTGCTGCCTCTGAATCTCAAGTTGGCGCTGAAACATAAAATAAATGTCATAAAATAAAATTCATAATTTCCTTACAGATATGCCACCTTGACAATCAAATTATATCATGAGGTCTTTGTTTGAAACAATTACTTGAAACATTTCAATCCATCACTATCTCTCACTTCCCCTCAATGTCACTGACTTACACTGTCATCCTTAAATACCGACATCCTATCAATTCCCCACAAATAACACTCCCATTCTATCACCACCACTGGTCAACTCACTTCTCTCTCCTGCATCTGTCTCTCCTCCTCCTGCTGTATCTCTGCCAGGGACTTCCCTTCGTTCGCCTCCCTCTGCTGCAGCTGACTCGCCCACTGCGCAGTGGCAGGAAGCTGACACAAAACAGGCAAATCAAAATCAAGTCAACATTTCAAGCAATCTCCAGTGTTTGTCCATCATATTACACTGCAGTCAGTAGCACTCCTACTATAACATGGCAACTTGTATATTATCAGTCTGGACCAGGCAAACCAGTGACTGAAAGCATGAGCAACGATCTATACCATCAGGGTGTGGTAACATACAATCCATCAAATCAAAAAGCCTGACAACCTTGTTATTTTTAACAACAAGCATGTGGCACAGGGGATCTTAACCCAGGCAGGCTCCACAGAATCCACACAGGGATATTTGTCTGTTTGTTTGTTGTTTAACGCAGCACTCAGCAATATTCCAGCTAGATGAAGGCGGTCTGTAAATAATCAAGTCTGGACCAGACATTCTAGTGATTGATATCATGAGCATCGATCCACGCAACTGGGATTTGGTGACATGCATCAACCAAGACAGTGAGTCTGACTACCCAATCCCGTGAGTCGTCTCTTACAACAAGCATAGTCGCCTCTTACAACAAGCATAGTCGCCTCTTACGACAAGCATAGTCGCCTGTTACAACAAGCATAGTCGCCTCTTACAACAAGCATAGTCGCCTCTTACAACAAGCATAGTCGCCTGTTATGACGAGCATGAAGACCTATTCTACCCCGCATCTTCACGGGTCCACACAGGGATAGCAAGTAAAACTTGCATCCAAACTTCCTGTGAACTAATATGAGCTCCGATCAGTCAGGTGACGCCAAAGTATCTTATATGGCATCAGTTCGTGTACCTGCATTCGAGCCAACTGTTCTTGTTGTTGTTGCTGGAGACGTCTTAGTGCCTCTTGTTGAAGTTTCTGTTGTTCCTGACGCTGCATCTCCTACAACAAAAAGTAACCAAATATAAATCATGCTAAAAGACTTTGTCAATACTCCTGATTTTCTAAACATCCAATCTGAAGCTGTCATAATCCTTGCTTATCAACTTACAGGTTTGAAATTTGACTTAAAGTTTTCCAATGCAAAATTTATATTTTATTTATAAATAATAGCAACTATTGAAACTATTGTCTGAAGTGAGTGAGTGAGTGAGTGAGTGAGTGAGTGAGTGAGTGAGTGAGTGAGTGCTGTTTAATGCTGCAGCCTGTAAATAATGAGTGAAGGCAGGACAGACCACAGACTTATAGTATGAGCTTCAGCCCAGGGCATCGCATAGTTAGTGAGTGAGTGAGTGAGTGAGTGAGTGAGTGAGTGAGTGAGTGAGTGAGTGAGTGAGTGAGTGAGTGAGTGAGTGAGTGAGTGAGTGAGTGAGTGAGTGCTTGATTGATTGATTGATTGATTGATTGAGCGAGCGGGTGGGTGTGGTATTTTCCACCACTTTTAGCAATATTCCAGCATCACCACGGCAGGGGCTTCACACATTGTACGCTTTAACAACTAGGCTAACCGATCAACCAAGCCACTGAGGCCCCACCTGATCCAATTGTCGCCTCTACAACAAGCACTAGAGAGCAGGCAACCAGTGTTAACCCAGACCCCCCAGGAGAGATCTAACACCGAGGTGTACCTGTTTTCTGAGCATCGGGTAAATGACTCCGTCACTATCAACCAAGCCACTGAGGCCCCACCTGATCCAATTGTCGCCTCTACAACAAGCACTAGAGAGCAGGCAACCAGTGTTAACCCAGACCCCCCAGGAGAGATCTAACACCGAGGTGTACCTGTTGTCTGAGCATCGGGTAAATGACTCCGTCACTATCGACCAAGCCACTGAGGCCCCACCTGATCCAATTGTCGCCTCTACAACAAGCACTAGAGAGCAGGCAACCAGTGTTAACCCAGACCCCCCAGGAGAGATCTAACACCGAGGTGTACCTGTTGTCTGAGCATCTCTCTCTGTCGCTCCTCCTCCCGCTGCTGCTCCTGCTGCATCTCCTCCTGTTGTCTCTGTACTTCCTGCTGCCGCAACATCTCCTGCACACAAGAGTAGCGTCATATAACACACTTTTACTAACTTTCAACACTTATAAGTTGTTTGTTTTGTTTGTTGTTTAACACCACACAATATTCCAGCTATATGATGGCGGTCTGGAAGAGTCAATCATGTGATCGATATTGGAGCAACTATCAACACCAACGGCATCATGGCAGGCAATCAATCAAGTCACCAAGTCTGACCACCCGATCCATTTGACCTATCCCAACCAGGAATGCTCACAGGGAAACTATTTTTTGTACTTTCAAGAACATTCAAAGTTTTTAAGAAAATGTCTTACTCTAAAAACTCCATCTGCACCTACATCAAAGATCACGACCAGTCTTCCAGTGTCATCTCCAATTATTATTCAACAAATAAACCCTAAGTGCAGATGACTTATTCATCAATGGCAACCCATGCGATGGTCCATTGGAAAGTAAATCAAAATTGGGAACTAACATATTCTTCTAAAAACAGTTAAAGTGAGTGAGTATGGTTTTATGAAGCTTGTAGCAATAATTCAGCAAGATCACGGCGGGGGACACCAGAAATGGGCTTCACATCTCAAACAGTTAAAAACCTGGTCTATTGTGCTGACATATACCACTCAATGTTTGATAGAGATAATCAGAAATGTGCCATCTAAATATACACTTGACATATCATGAGAATGAGTTTTGTGTATCAGGGAAAGATAAAGTACCCAATAAAAGGTGGAGTAGGTTGTCATGACAATACTGTAAGACGACAGATCAGTGCTAAAGTACCCAATAGAAGGTGGAGTAGGTTGTCATTACAATACTGTAAGACGACAGATCAGTGTACCCAATAGAAGGTGGAGTAGGTTGTCATGACAATACTGTAAGACGACAGATCAGTGCTTGTTGTTTTACCCTGCACTTGGACAAAGGTACCCACCTGTTTCTTGTGTTCTTCCTCCAGCTGTTGTCTGTGCGTCTCCTCTTGTCGCCTCCTCTCTTCCTCTATCATTCTCTTCCTTTCTTCTTCCTGCTTCCTACGAGCTTCTTCTTCTCTCTGGACAACAAGCTCTTCTTCTCGGCGACGCTGCTCTTCTCGCATTCTCTCTTCTTCTCGTTTACGTTCTTCCTCCATTTGTCGTCTCATTTCTTCTTCCTCCCGACGACGGATTTCTTCCATACGCTATATGGAAAGTAAGGACTCTTTTCAAACCATTTTTATTAAGACATTTTAATTCAGAATTTCACACAACAGATCTTTTCATCATTCCTGCAAAATGTTTCCTCAACGTCAAGGACAATATGGATGTGTCTTCACAATCTGCATCAAGTTATCAGATCTCTCGGCAAGACCTTGTTCTTGGACACTTCAGTAATTATGGAGCTGGTGATAGCTATTCTAACACAAGGAACCCATATACTTCTTAGCATCTAATGAATAGTGTTCCAAATATTGTCCTGGGCAGTTCAGCATTTATGTCATGTCACATACATGCTGTGCATGCAAGAAACTTCTTCGAGAGGCATTTAGAAGTTGGAGGACTAAATAAGGATAAAATATATGGATGAACAACTTTATTACAATTAGAAGCGACGATGCTTGATAACGGTGTTAGAACCTACACTGAAATGTTGCTCCTAATTGTAATAAAGAAGTCGTTCATCCATATATCTTCTCCTTACTTTGTGCAAGCAAGGCCCGCCTACCTTCAGCTCGACCTGTCTCTGTCTCTCTAGCTCCTTCTTCTCTCGTATCATCTTCTCCCTCTCTATGGCTATCTCCTCCTGCTGTCTCTTCAGCTCTTCCTGAGTTCTCTGCATCTCTATCTGACGACGTCTTTCTTCTTCCTCCTCCTGCTTCCGGCGAATTTCTTCTGCTTTCTGTTGCTGGTTTAGACAGAATAAGGTTACGACACTGGATGATAAGGGAGAACTGGCAGCGAGCCCTTGTGTTACAACACTGGATGATAAGGGAGAACTGTCAGTAAGCCCTTGTGTTACGACACTGGATGATAAGGGAGAACTGTCAGTGAGCCCTTGTGTTACGACACTGGATGATAAGGGAGAACTGTCAGTGAGCCCTTGTGTTACGACACTGGATGATAAGGGAGAACTGTCAGTGAGCCCTTGTGGACAAATATTCGCCCAAACAGTGTCAGTGAGATGGGTTAACACACTTTGAACAGTATTTCTGTTCCATCACAGCATGTCAGTGTAATATGGGAGGAATACAGGTCTTCAATGTCTACCACATTAACCCATGAAACCCAAGTGAGTGAGTATGGTTTTACGCCGCTTTTAGCAATATCCCAGCAATATCATGGCGGGGGACACCACAAAGGGGCTTCACACATTGTACCCATGTCAGAAATCGAACCTGGGTCTTAGGCGTGACGAGCGAACGCTTTAACCACTAGGCTACCCGACCACCCCATGAAACCCAAGAACAAGGGTATGGTACGGAGAAACCAAGGTCATAGTCAGGGTGAATCATGGATACCAGCACACTAAGGGACATAACTCTGCACAGTGACATGCAGAGCCTTAGACAACTGGGTGCCGTTGTACAAAACAATCTTAGCACTTCGTAAGGCTGTGTTAGGTATGGGAGTGACGATCACCTTAGCGCTAAGATAGCTTTGTACAATGGCACCCTGGACTACCCGTGCCCACACTGCCATAAGAAATCATTAAACCTGGCTCATGCAAATATGTCTAACTGTCTAGGCGGACATGAGCGGCCACACATTCTACAGTCAGTCGAAACATGAGATAAGTCTGTCAGGCAAAAAAGTGTTAAATACCATTACTTCAACCTGAAACCCAAAGAAAACCAAATTGTCTAAACTGACAGAGGATGGTAGTTTAAACAGAGGCTACTGTAACAACATTCTAAGTCATGCATCAAAGGATGAACATTTTCATAAGCAGTAACCATAGCAGCACTGCAACAGGTCCGGTTTTGATGGCAATTTGGAGCAAGCACTGACTATGTTTGAAAGTTATAAGTTATAAGATAGACACAGCAGGACTCTTCACACATATGGGGACTACTCACAGCTTGCAGTTTTTCCAGTTGCTGCTGGTTCACAGTGTTGGGTGACATGTCACTGGGTGGCGTCTCCAGGTCCCACACACTGCTGGGCTGAGACCAAGCAACTGCAACATACACAGAGCTACAGATAAGCAGCGTATTGGCGTAAAATACCAAACAAAATATTCAAAAAACAATTACTTTCAATTAACTTGCGTACAGAAACGCATGCATTAAAGGAAGAACTCAAATTATAAAAACAGCATGCGTAAATACCCAATGAAGCAATTTCAGCATGCGTACAATGGAGCTAATATCCAAAACACAATTATGAGCTAATTTACTTTCCGAGTCAAGCCTGTATTTAGAACCATTATTTACATTTATTAAATCAAAAATGTTTACTCATTTTGGGAAAAACCCAATAGAGTGATGAATAGATGAGTGAAAAAATATAGGTTACCCAATGAAAAATGTAATAACCCAATTAAAATGGAAACCTTGGAGTCCTTGTGACTTTTGCCCTTGACCTTAAATAGCGGGTCAACACCTGGTTTTAGAGGACTTACCTTGTCCTGGAGGGTGCCCCTCCCCTTCTGCAGCAGGGCCAGGCTGGGGCATGTGATATGCTGGGTGGGAGGTAGTAGGGGTGCCCTCTGCTGTCTGCGGCCTGGAACACAGTGGTAGCTTCCACATCATCTCTGCACAGACTCATAGCACTACCCCGTTATTGGGATGGGCAGTCTTTTTGTTTGTTTGTTGTTTAATGACACACTCTATATATTCCAGCTTTCTAACGCTCTCCCTAAAGTAATCTAGTCTGGGCCAGACAATCAAGTGATTGATATTGTGAGGAATGATCCATACCCTCGGGGTACAATAACATCCAATCAACCATATCACCGAGCATCAGATCTCATGGCTGGCCTCTTACCACCAGCAGAAGTTGCAGGGGACCTATTTCACCAGGATTCACCCCAGGGTGGATGGTCAGTCAAATCAGCAACAACTTTGTATGTCACCAGTGCCTAACCACACAATATTAAATATAAATTGAGAATACAGTAATCTACAATAATAACGAACTCAAAGGGACCACTAATTTTAGTTCATAATAACCGGTTCGTTATAAGCATATATACAGCATGTATACAACAAATGGCCGGGACTAAAAATAAGTTTGTTATATCGGTCAGTTCGTAGTTTACTGTATATGTTAATAATTGACATAGCGGAACTGGGGGACACTACAAGGTAGGGCTGCTTGAATCAACAAAACAAATGAAAAATGTAGATTTCTCTCTGGTACAAAAGGGTTCAAATTCCAATGGCTGATTGGTTAATTTCAAAGTACCACGGACTCAAAGACCTAGGTATACCCCTACTGCCGACATAGCACTTCTGTATGACTCCAGACTTCTGTCTTAAAGCACAAATACTAATTCAACTCACTGTGGGGACAGCCTGTTCTGTTGTTGTTGTTGCTGTTGTTGTTGTTGTTGCTGCTGTAGTTGTTGTAGCTGCTGAAGTTGCTGCATAAACATAGGTTGTGTCTGCATCAACATCTGCATCACCATCTGTTGCTGCTGTGGTGGAGACATGTTCTTGAATGAATCCTGTTCTTGCATCTGTGTCATCATCTGGACCTGCATCTGTCTGCAATAATCAACACTCATCTTGCACTTGAAACACCTCAGGGTCCTTAGACGCAAACTATTGCGTCCTTATACTACCAAAACATATTGAGAATGGACATAAATACTTTATACTGCAAGTCCTGGGTTTAGCTGTTTGAATCCTAAAAGAATTTCACAATTGTTGATGGAATGTTACGTATAACATTCCTATTCTGGTAAGAAATACTCAAATTTCAGAGTGGCAATAGCTTATAGGCTTAAGGCTTCTGAGCATGAGCTATGATATCACATCAGTTTTGTTTGTTTGTTGTTTGAAGCCGCAATCAGCAATATTCCAGCTATATGACGGTGGTTTGTAAACAAACAAATCTGGACCAGACAATCCAGTGATTGACATCATGAGCATCGATCCACGCAACTGGGATACGATGACATGCATCAACCAAGTCAGCGAGCCTGACCATCCGATACGGTCAGTCGTCCCTTACAACAGTAGTCACCTTTTACGGCAAGCATGCTAAGATAATGAAGCCTGGGACAGTGGTTAATGGGCTGAACAAAGAAGCATGCCGTGAGTGCAGGAATACACACTGCCTATTTGATCCACACAGTTCATCAGCCAGGATGGGGTTCTGCCCTAGAACAAAAACTGTTATTCAAATATTCCTGGTACTCTGTGAGATTTCGGTCTCCCCTTACCTCATGAGCATCTGTTGTTGCATGAGCTGTTGAAGGAGAAACTGTTGAGGTATGATTCCAAGCAGGTCCTGAGGGGGTGGAGGAGTGGGCGTTGGCTGCTGTGTGGGTGGGGTCTGTTTTACGGGGGCTTCAGTATTGGCAGCTGTTACTGGGATGTTCTGGCAATGAAACATGGAGTAACAATGAATGTGGAGGAGGAAATTGATTTATTTTTTAACATATTGTAGCTTGAAAGGGGTTGAATATTTTTCTATTCAAGGAAATATAATTTCTTCCTTCTACATTGTTCAAAGACACTAAAAATTACTAAAATACACCATTTGTTTTGTTCATAGTTTATTCACTGTTTTCGGTAAATAATGACTTTGACATGTACGATCACAGCACAAGGAATGTGAAAGTCCATGTTCATAGTTTATTCACTGTTTTTAGTAAATATTGACTTTGACATGTACGATCACAACACAAGGAATGTGAAAGTCCATCTTACCAGTAATGGAGGTGGTGTTGGGCCAGCTAGGAATGGAACTCGGCCCCATCTCTTGATCAGCTCTCCTGAAATCGTACAAATAACAGTGAGGTGAAATGGGTCCCCAATCAAAATTGCGCAACAAAATCGAAATCCAGTTCATAAACTGTCTTGATAATTGATTTGACTGTCTTGACTGGGTGCTGCCATTTCGTTTGAAGCAAATGCAATTATGAGGACCAATCTGATTGGTCCATAGGAGAGACTTAGAAGGGACATAACTTGTAATAGCCACTGGTGGCGCTACGATCGAGCTTAGGAATTCCACCCTAGTTCGGCAAGGGTGGAAACTGGACTTTTAAAGTCAGCAATGTCTCTTGTCTCAGGAAAATGACTTATACAGTGACGTGCATGCATGTGTCAGTGTCTGTGTGTGGCGGCTTGTACCACTCCGGACTAATACCAGTTTACTAGTGCAAGCCCATTGAGATACGATGCCGGAGTTTTAACATGAATCCCCCACTAGACTTCGAGCCAACCAGTCGTTCTTTTATGCCCTTAATGCCAAGCATCAGGCATGGTAACAACAAGCACCATCTTTTAACATCCTTGGGCTGTATCCACTAGCCCATGGACGTGCTTCTAACAAGAACAGTTTACTGTAAATCTCTCCGTTCATAAAGGAAGTTGAATAAGTTGGATGAATGTTACTTTAGAATGCATTTTTCAGTCTTAGAGCTTGATATGCCGATGACAATGACCTAAAACAAGGTTCCAACTTACTCGGATTTTAGAAGGCAAAACTTGTAATGGCATGGTTAAAACAAGCATGAAATACTCATATCCCCCACCAATATGGCATGTCCAGTTGTGTGCAAGGCATTAGACCACAGAAAACGAGCACTACTGCCATTTTTAGTCGAAGTCAAAGTCAAAGTCATTGCTATGGAAGCCTTGAAAAGAATGTTTTTAACAAAAAATAAAACTATCAAAAGGCACCAGTTCACCACCAGACCTATTTACGTGCCAAGTTTGGTGAATCATATTGTATGGTTTTCAAGACCTGCTCCAGAAAGCAGCGCTACCGCCATTTTCAGTATAAGTCAAAGTTGTTGCCATGGAAACTCGAAAAATACATTTTTAAAAAATCCCAAACTATCAAAAGGTTCTCCACTAGACCTATCTATGTGACAAGATTGGTTAAGATATATGTCATGTTTTTTTAGTTCTGCTCCGGAAACGAAACGTGACAGACAGACGGAAGGATGGATGGGCGGAAGGACAGATGGATAGCACCCATTCCTATATCCCCCTTCCACTTCATGGCAGGGGTAATAGGTTTGGGGAGCCTCAAGGGCACACTTTCATTCCAAGTGGCACAGTTAAGGCGAGGTGAAATGGGGTTTAACGCCGCATCCAAGATTATTGCACTTAAAAAGCGACCTGCATACATGTGTGTGTGTGTGTGTGTGTGTGTGTGTGTGTGTGTGTGTGTGTGTTGCTGCTTGTACTGGTTCAGACTGATGCTGATTTTAGAATGCTAGCACACTGAGATACCATGCCGCAGTTTAACATGAATACCCCTCTCAGACACAGTGTACTGACTCCGAGCCGACCAGCCCTTTGCTTTAATGCCGAGCGCCAGACAGGGTAACAATTGGTACCATCTTTTAATGTCTTTGGGTATGACACAACCGGGGATCGAATCCAGGACTTCCAGCTCTCCAGGCGGCCGCTCTACCACTAGACCATGGAGGCGGTCCGGCACACCTAAACATCGTTATGAGCATGAACAACATGGTGATGGAACTTGTACATACCTAGCTGCTGGAATCGTTCATCACATCCCCTTTTAACCAGAAGACTCATTGTAAAGTAACCAGCACTGAACCACTGGGCCATCTCCTCTGGGTTAAAAGGACCTGAAAAAGTGGAGTGAGTGAGTGGGTGAGTGAGTGAGTTGATGAGTAAAATCTGATTTCAGGGTCTGCACACAATACATGTTATCTCTTCATCTTACAAACTAGTAATGTACTTAATCTCCAGTGTTTGTGAGCCTGGTAAGTTTAGGTAGAGCTCAGAAACTTCAAGGAAACACTATTGCAGCAGGAAGGCATCTATCTCAAAGAGACAAACCAGCAATGGAGACTCCCATATTTTAGTCAACATGGCGCTAAGATCACTTTGTCAAGCGGAGCCCGACTGGTTACTTTGGAGACATTGCGGTAACTTGACACTGCTTTAGGCACCTTATATGACAAGCAAGGGTACTAGGATCTTTCCTGATAAAGGAGACCCTAATTATATATAACACAATAAGAGTTATTAAAGTCTGTGTCAAAAGCTTTTAAGTATTCAAGCCCTAAACTTTCACTTGACATCATTTTTAGTAGATCTCAGTGTTATTACATGGACTTAAGCAAAGCTTACAGGACCAAAAGACATTTTACTAGAACTATTACTGGAGCTTTGAACTACTGTATTCGACATAATAAGCGCCCCGCTCTAATAAGCGCCCCAGCGATATTAGATAATATATTGGCTAGTGAACAATCCTAATAATACGCGCTTGTGTGTTATATGCACTTTTAATTATGGGCAATTAAATTCTTGAAAAATATATCTGTTGTACATAAACATTTCAGGCTGTCGGATAAAACCACAAAATTTATCTTTCAACTCTTTTTTTGTCACCAAAATAATATTCTAATAAGAGCCCCCTATTTCTAATTTTGAGAGCGTCGAATACGGTATTGGCTAAAGTAACAGACTGGCATTACTCCAGTGCTCAAAGTCATGGATTTAACCTGTACCACTCAACATTTGCTAAGGACCACTCCTTGGACTTCAGATAACTATATTTTAGGCCTTGGCAGGAGAATCTAAATATTCTAACAATGCCTCCTAAGAGATACGTTTCGTGTCATGTCCCTTGTGATGTCCTTGTGGGTATATGTGTACCTTGGACATCTCCTTGGGGATCCCTGTAAAACCACTTGAGGGACTCTTCATGACTTAGAGGGACACCTTGAGTCCGAGGGTCCATGGGACCTCTCTGTAACCTGTTCTCTTCATCCTGATCAGAAAACAGCATTTTTATCTCATGGAAATTCTACCTTCCATGATTATCATCAACCTTCTTCCACTCAACAAAGTTTATGGTGAATGTGTTTACCAAGTTTCATAAAGATTTCTCTAATAATTTTCAAGTTCTGCTCCAGACATGAAACCCGCTGCTTTCATTCAGTTTAGGGACCAAGTCCAATTTATAAAATTCATATAAAAGAAAAGACAATTTTGGGGGAATCATAAATAGCTAAAGGCACATATACACCATACGGTGAATGTGTGTACCAAGTTTAGTAAAGTTATGTCTTATGGCTTCCGAGTTCTACACCGGAACCTCAAGAAACCACACATTTAACCACATCAAATCCACATCAAACCCAGATTACTTTGGCACCAACGCCCACATGGCATCAAACCTACATCACATTGGCACCAACGGCCACATGGCATCATACACACATCACATTGGCACCAACGGCCACATGCCATCAAACCTACATTGCATTGGCACCAACGGCCACATGCCATCAAACCTACATCGCATTGGCACCAACGGCCACATGGCATCATACACACATCACATTGGCATCAACGCCCACATGGCATCACACCCACATGGCATCACACCCACATTACACTGGCACCAACGCCCACATGGCATCACACCCACATCACATTGGCACCAACGCCCACTTGGCATCAAACCTTCATCACATTGACACCAACGCTCACTTCGCATCAAAAACCGAAACAACAAGCCAATAGATCACCCCTTCTCTCCCACCTGGCACGACAAAGGCCGACACAAGGGCAACACGCTAGGAAGATTCACACACACGTCTCCCCACATATTTTGTACCTCAGCTGTCATTTCGGCTACCATGTTCTCAGCGGCCTCCTTTAATCTATCCAAGGGATCACTGTCCGCTGTTGGCAGGCCACCCTTAACTTTCTTGACAGGTACACTCACTTGGTTCACACTCATAGTGTTTAATGTCTGTTCAACTGGAGCACTGTTTGAGTCATTAAGACTTTGTGACACATCCCCAAACTGCACAGATTTTGAGGGATCTATTCTCTTAGGTTCCTGATTGGATTTGACAGCAGGCTGTGGAGACTGAGACTGGCTGTTGCCATGGTTACTAGCACTTTCTTGTTTGACCTCGGGAGCACTTGTTGAGCGCTGATTCTTCTTATCCTGAAAGTTCAGAAATGTCTGGTGACAATGATGCTAATAAATCATACATCCAGGATCATGTGATTTGAAGTGCCAATATATTCCTTCTAGATCACGAAAGATATTCTTGTCTTTGAATAGCATTAAGAAGTCAAACACATAAGGAAGAGAATTTATGGATGCCAACTTCTTTATTATGAGGAACGGTGAGTTGTGTTTTAATGCCGATTTGAAGAGTATATACGGTAATAATAAGCTGGATAATCAAAGAAGTCAAACAACAGGCGTACCCTTCTCTGTTCTCGAGGTGGTTCCTTGCCCTGAGGAGGCAAGTCTGTGTTAGGCTGTGACGGTGACTGATTGGTGTTCTGTACATCAGAGTGCGGACTCTCTCCATTTCTAAAGCCCTGCAAACAACTGTATCATGACAACCTGACATGCACAAATATCAACAAGGTCAGTTTTGTTGGTTTGTTTTTTAATTCCACACTCAGCAATAGTCCAGCTATATAACATTGGTCTTTAAATAATAGAGTCTGGACCAGACAATCCAGTGATTGACATCATGAGCATCGATCTTGCAATTGGGATATGACATACATCAACCAAGTCAGCGAGTCTGACCACCCAACCATTAAGTCGCCTCTTAGGACAAGCATAGTCGCTTTTTACGGCAAGCATGGGTTGCTGAAGACCTGTTCTAACCCGAATCTTCATGGGTCAACAAGGTCAGCGGTCAAATTTAATGGTGGTCAAGAGACCCTTTAAATATTGCAAAATTTATACATATAAATATTTAACCTGTTCAAAGAAACTCATAAAACAGCGTGACTGCAGTAAGCTTAATAATCTGAGGAAAATGAAATTGAATTGACATCCTACCTTCGGATGAGAAGTAACAAATGCCCCACTGGCATCGAACGTTCCCAGCTCTTCCATATCATCATCACCAGGAACACTCCATTCAGGCAAATCTACATGAACAAGTCCGCATAAACACAACTCTGTGAAAGTGCCATGGTAATATACATGTGGGGGATGTTTGATGGGTGGGTGGGTGTGTGGGTGGGTGAGTGAGTGAGTGAGTGGGTGAGATGAACACCACGAGTTATGTAACAGTATGTTGGCTTTCTGAGGAGGGTAATGCAGATCTTCAATGTATACTGAACAAAAAAAGTAAAGGATCATGAATATTTTTGGGGACATGTTCATGAAATTGTGTGCTCAGATTTCACTACAAAAAGCACTATATCCCAAAACATATTCATGATCCACAACTTTTCTTGCTCAGTATATTCAGACAGGGTTTGAGTAAGATATGGCTTAGGTATTTGAACAACTGGCTTTCAACCCTCCAAGCAGACCGTTTTCAGACCAGTGTCCTAATCCTTATTTTAAACTAATCCTCACTCTAATCATTTATTTCAGCACGACTGAGTCATGAGGGACCTATACTGTTAAAGAGTCCTTCATCATGCTGATTGGTAGGAGTCTAAATATTCCGATTTTCAGAATATGTAGAAGTATTACCAAGACACACACAAGTGTACAATGTCTATCTCACACTTCCATGTTCTGATACTGACAAATGAATACTTATGAGTGTGTTCAGAATGTTCTGCAACTTGCAGGCCTTACCCAACACAATTAACGACAAGCTCATGATGCATGACAAGAGATTATGTGGGCAACACCACATCGAAGCAACTCTTGAAAACTCAATGGGAAAACTGATGGGAGTCAGGACAAGTTCATGTTGACTGTCCCCCTGTTTCTGCAGCAGGGTACAACACTGTACAAGACATCAAACAACCACACTTTCATAAGGTCTAACATTCTTTGTGCTTGCTTTACGGATCTGCCAAACAAAGAGGGAGGGAAGGAGGGAGGGAGAAACTAACAGTCAAGATCACTTTGACAACAAAATTTGTACAGGACTAAAACAGAAAACATTTTTAACGACATACATCTCCACTGGTGCTATAAACTGTCCTCAGTGCATATGGTTGTCATGGTAATGATAAACCCTAATCAACTGTCAGCCCATCCAAAACCAAAATCAAAATCTGGACCAACTATCAACTGACATAAAAGTAGTGGTGTCCACGGCTCCGGTCCATAAACCAATACTACCACAAGCTACAACAGTCATACATCTAAGTTCAAGTGTGGGTTTTCTGATGATTGGTGTGCTCAGGTCACTTTGAGTCACAGGCCAGTTGCAGAACCTTCTGAACACGATGATGTGCAACAGGGTAACTCATACAAACACAGAAAGTGAAACAGACACTTTCCTGGTATATTGCCTAAAAGTATAAATGCCTCACAGATTACACCGATATTTCAAAGTAAACATTACATTTATTTATTTCATCATATTCAGCTCAAAAGAAGTAAAAGAACACCTGATTCTTTTATATTACTATCTGAAACTGCCAGTCCATCACAGATTAACCATAGCAATATGAAAGAATCGCGTGTTGTTTAACTTCTTTTGAGTAGTATATAAGGAAAATCCAATTCAACGAAGTTGTCCTTGCATTACCAAAGTAGAATTGAGAAGAACGTGTAATCTGAACATTTATAAGTTTGGGCATGACCATGTTTGGTTGGTTGAGTGTTGACTGTACCATCCGTGTCCCATGATTCACTACTCCTACTGCGTCTGTACAGCTGGTGCTTAACATCGGCATCCGAAAGTGTTCGGTCTTTATTGGGACCATTTTGTCTCCGCTCACCATCAAATCCACCTCGACCAATAGGTTCTCTCCAGTTGGTCCGTGTGCCTAAAAATATAAAATGCCAACTCAAAAGAACTGTCAGGACTGATTTTTCTTAAGTCTTTTTTGTTGTTTAATGCCACACTCAGCAATATTCCAGCTATATGATGGCAGTCTATAAATAATCAAGTCTACACCAAACAATCCAGTGATTGACATTATGAGCATGGATCCACACAATTGGGATACGATGACATGCATCAACCAAGTCAGCGAGCCTGACCACCCGATGCTGTTAGTCACCTCTTACAAAAAGCATAGTCGACTTTTGTGGCAATGATGGGTTGCTGAAGACCTATTTTACCCGACCTTCAGTGTTCGAGTTTCGTTAGGAAAAAGCATTCTTGATCATCCAGTGTATTTTATCGATACTACTCTAAAGAAGTTAAAGTACACCCACTTTTGTCACGACAGATTACCTATAATCATAGGAAATATTCAGGTGAAATTTAACTTCGAGTAGAATATATTCTATTATGAAAAAAACAATCAAATCATTTGAGGTGAAATGGGTTTTTTTCAAAATAATTGCATGGAGGTGGTCCGTACTAATATAAGAGCATATTCATCTGTTGGCCAACTTACTCCATCTTTCTTTCTGTGGCCCTGCCCTTCGCCAGTCTCCTGCATCATCTTCATGTGTCTCTTCTTTCTCTCGCCAATTATCACTGCTCAGCGATCGAGAGAACTGAGGGTGTCGCCCCCCTGCTTGGACGTCCTCAATAGTACGGGTGGAGAAGCTTCGGTCATACTTTTTACCACTGGAAAACGCAATGCACATGAAATAGATATTTTACAGCTGCTGATGTTAATTTCCGTGATAGCGTGACACTGTGTCATCCGTTTTCTACGACAACCTTACCAAACAGGTCACACGGAAAGGAAACTTGAACAAAAGTTTCCTCATCATGAAACCTGAGAAGCAACAGTCAGAGAAGGTAGTCACCTTTATTGTATGACTAAGGTAGTAGGGATGAGTAAAACTGGCAGTTTTTGTGACGACTCGGTTGACTTATGGAATTCAACTTCTTTATTATTTCAATGCGACACTTCGGTAGGTGCTGAAACCGTTATCACTTGGTGGATAAAGGTACCTAAACCTGCGAGTAGATTTTTTGTGTATTTCGTTTTCAATGGCGTCACCAGTAGTCTGATGGCAAATGGCAGTAAAGTCAATCTTCCTAATGGTAAAAGTTGTAGACAATACGGAAATGTCACAATTCTTTCCTGAATCTTACTATGTTCGGACAAGCTGACTCAAGGTAATTTCAATTCCTGAAGAATATGTTGGTGAAGGTGTCAATGATTCAGCAGTTATTACTGATTATGATCTTGTTGCTAGGTACTCTGAAATAATCTTAATGTTCACAACATGTTTGATATTTGGATTACTAGTGACCTTGACGAAATTATCCCAAAATATATTCCAACTGAGTCTGGCCAAGAGATAATATCCCAAGTTCAGTAAAAACTATCCAAAAGTCAAATCAAAAATAGCCTTAACCATTTCTACATATAGAACATTTTGACACTTCCAACTTGGCAACCATAAGAGCTGTGCTTAAAATGTCATCATCTGCATCAAAAACACAGACAGCTGTGAGCATCAGGCTTACACTTCTTCCCATCCATCTTTGTTCTGACCCCGCGATCTCCCAAAACCACCGCCGTTCTCTGCTTGGTCAAAGGGCTGAGTTCTTGGAGGGAAACCATCGCCTCGTCCCCGCCCTGAAAAAGTGCCATCTTCGTAAGAATGACACAACCATCATGAATTACTTCACACTTATATCTACAGTATCTGGTGATGGATATTTGAAGACTGTACATGGAGATGAATTTCTGAAGTACTTTAAACACATCATGGAAAATCTCAAAGTAAGGTCTTAATTCCAGCCTTGAGTGAGTGAGTGAGTTGGGTTTAACACCGCTTTTAATATTATTCCAGTTATGTCACGGTGTGTCAGCTTAAAGTGGGAGGAAATCCCGAAGTGATGCAGGTCTCGGACGTTTACCACTTCAGTAAAACCCACAAGCACGGGTATGATGCCGACAAACCTAGAAACATAATCGGGGCGAACCAGGATTCCAACCCACAATCATAGGTTTCTGACATGCCCAAGGGACGCAACTCTGCACAGTGAATCGCAGAGCCTTAGACGACTGGGCCACTCGTGCCCCTTCCAGTCTTAAATAACACAGAATTCATAAACAGGTATTCTCACTAACTGAAGCCAAACAGTTCTCACAGAGGGCTGAAACGATACACCAAGGCACTGCCATATCAAGCTCGGGATCATGATGTCTCTCATTCTAGATCGATATATCTAGTCTTCGATAAATGGTTTCAATAATATCTGCACATCAGATGGTTCACAAACTACTTCTGACTAACATTTCAGCAATATTCATTATTCAATCTGATCATGTATTTGTGTTGTCATAAAACCTATCTAAAACAGATCCTGTGAAAAGATTTGACCTTTGTTTGCCTTGTTCGGTCACGAGTATGTCATCTTAGCCAAGGGTACTCTGGCAAGGATCACGTTGTTCACAACACAATGATACATATATTGCGACGTTAGTGCATTGTTTCAACCCCTGTGGTCACCAGGTGATTGTTGGGTGCCTACCTCTGCCTCTCCCCCGGTCTCCACCCCCTCTGCCCCCTCGGACTGGCTGCCCCCCTCGACCCATGGACCGGAGCACTGTTGTACTGTTCACAGACTGAGACATCAACCTCTGTAAAAGGAAACAGAAACTTGTGATAATTCATGTCCAGGGTGACCAAGGGTTCTCATAATAGCTGAGCAGTCAGTTCAAAAAACTCTCCTGAAACAGCCTCATACCAATTTTCAGTTGATCTTTGTTTTAGCATGTGGACAATTATTAGCTGAGGATGCGGGACAAAAGGAAATGTTGCCAGATTCTGACATCGACTAGCATTGTATCCTTAAAAAATGTATATTCCTCTTTGATCCTACCTGCAAAATGTCAATGAGAAACTTAGGTGAGGTAAGGTTAAATGGGGTTTAACGTTGTGTCTAAGATTTATGCACTTCTATAGCAACGAGCATGCACATCTATGTGTGTTTGTGTGTGTGGCTGCTTGAACTAGTCCGAACTGATGCCGATTTATAGTGCTAAGCCCACTAAGATACCATGCCGCAGTATAACATGAATACCCCACTCAGACACAGTATACTGACTCCGAGCCGACACAGTCCTTGTTTTAGCCCCTTAATGCCGAGCGCCAGACAGGATAACAACAAGTACCATCTTTTAAAGTCTTTTGGTACGACGCGGCCAGGGATCAAACCCTGGACCTTCCTTTAGCTCATATCTCAGTACACAATCCAGTGATTGATATTGTGAGCAATGATCCACGACGTCCTGGTACAATGACACACTATTAAACTCACCCAGACTACCCAATCCATCAAGTGGCGTCTTTACGACCAACATAGGTTGCTGGGGACATTCTCACCTGGAATCCACCCATGGCACTTAAAATGAATAATACTAAACAAGTCCTCAAAAGCATTTTAATCCCTTACCTGTTCTTCCTCAGTTAGAGAAATTAGAGCTAGTGGTTTCTGCGCCTCTTCAACGTAGACTGGCGGGAAGTTGACAAGGTCTTCAGGGGCTTTGTAATTACTGTGAAAGAGGGCTAGCATCTCCTCCCGCCCATATCTGTATTCTGCTAGCTTGAATTTGCCCCCTAACCCAGGTGTGGGCGGGGGAGATGCAACACTGTTCCCGCCAGACAGCTGTCGGAGCCTGGGGAACACGAGCAAGGCATTTTAACAGTATTCTACATCCATCATTATGAATGGCTCTCAAGAGTAGTGACACGGTGGAAGTTAGTGTGTCAACACTATACACTGGCTGGTTATACACTGGCTATCGATATAGATCATGGAGATCGCTAATCACTAACTATGTATCAATCAATTATCAATAAATATCAGAGAAGTAACTTTTAAGAAAATATGAAAGAAAAAAGGGGTGGGGTGGTGAAACAGCATTTTCGTCATATCACCTGGACTTTTACGCTTAATTTCACACATTGTAATATACAGCCTCAGCTATATAGCACGATACACATCTACAGTGAGGAATTGAGTCTGATTTTGATTCTGGTTCAGCAATATTCTGCAGCTGTTTCATAATCTGACAGTGTTGTAGCTAGGTGCTCATTCAAAGTCAACAAACACCATCAAACACCTCGCCCCTCATTAATATGCCATGCATATATTACTTATCTTCAATGAATACTCTTCCTCTTTGTCATTCATATATTAAACATAACAAATTTTGTTTTAGACACTGTTCTTATTTAACGTGTTCAACAATGCATGGTAGCTTGAACACGGTTTAATACAATCGTCATTGTACATATCATGGTTCCAGTAACTTGAAATTTCTGTTTTCAAGGCCACAGTTTATTTTTTCAGTTGCTCTACGGATTCGCTATCCCTAACTTTTTGTTGAAATGGAAAAAAGAAAAATTCAGAATCTTTTCGATATCCTGCCAATAAGATGAATGTTCCACCATAAAAATATTTTCCAAGCAAGGATCCAAAGAAGTCAACATCAATGAAACATTGGGAGTGAAAATAAGGTTTGTTGTTCATGACACGATACATCTTCCCTGGCAAGAGCGTCCACTAGCCTTTTAAATCAAAGTCTTGTTTCCACCTTTGCCACATCAAGCCCACTTTCTTGTGCTAAATATGATTGGACTATCAAACATATCGATAGGTTTCTCCTTCTTACCGACAGGTATTTTCCCATAAAAATTCCGTAAAGCAATTAAAAAAATGTGGCCTTACAGAGATAAACCCCTTTGTGCATGTACTTACCATTCAGGGCCAAATTTGAGAGTATCTGCCATTTTAATATTTGTTGAATAGCTGAAAAAAATAAAGAAAAGTAGACATAATCAAATAATCAGATACAGAAATATTATTTACATAAAATCTGAGGAATTGGGAATATTTTGATTCAATTTTAACTTTCATTTGCTGCTGACATGGGGCCAAATATCGGCCTCTGAACAGATCTAAATAAATCAATGTAACCTTCAACCCAACACAAACAATATATCTGTGCACTGAATTTGAAATAAATGGAGACCCCTGGCATCTCAAAATGACAGATAATACTTGTAACATGATATACAGGGGATATACCAGCATTTTTCTATTGATTTGGGTGTCTAAAGTGACAACTGTACCAACAACAAATAAGATAAATAAGCATTATTATGGATGGGGATTTCCTTGATTGAGTGAAGTAAATTGGATGTGTAAAGTACATTCCGTATGTATGCAACCACAACTACAGCCGAATTGTACTTAATTATTCAAACAGCCATACTTTTTGAGCATCCCATGGGATATGCAGGGTACATTATGTGGGTCAATTTTCGATTTTTATGTCAAGGACATGATATTATGCAACCCTGCATAAACCTACATCAGTAAAGGAGGGGTTTATCTACATCAGCTCAGTGGCCGACAGTAAAAATTCTCCATTCCTCAGTCCAATCTTTTAACAATATCACACTGTTTTCCCAAGTTGCCTGCCAAAGGCCCTCAAGTTTGGAATCCTAGATAAATCTGTATAGAGTGAGGTATCGCTGCCTCTACAACAATTTTTAGTACTAATAGTATTTCATTATTGCCTCTAGTTTCAGTCTTTACATGGGGAATGAGTCCATGCTAAATGTTAAGTTTCATGGAAAACAAAGCATTGCAGTTTTACAACACATTTTCACAATGAACCAATATCAAAATGAACTAGAAAATGAGTAATGAATGAGTTGAATTTTACACAACGAATCAAAATCCAGTCTGACGAGAAAACATTTTAATCACTGAGCTACTTAACACCCCAGAAAATATAAGGAAGTAATACTGGTTTACTGCCTAGCCAACAAGTCAGAACATGATATTTTAAGAGACAAAAGCTGAGTTCAGTACACCAAAACTGGGTTTGTATTAAAAGTAACAAGAAAAGGGCGTTATCACTATCCCCCGCCATGGGGCACATTGGAGTATTGTTTGTTCATACAGTACTTATAGAAGTGATTAACATGGAAGTAAATCTTAACTATCATAAAAAAAACCAGGAGTCCTAAGTTTTTAAGAAAATGTGTCCCCATTGAGAAGCGGACGGCCAAACATTCCTTTATCACCCATCCCACTTCGGATAATAAAAGCAATCAAAGAGGTTGAGTGATAATTGTTTGTCTTTTGTCTGTTGTTTAATGCCGCACTCAGAAATGTTACAGCCATATGGCGGCTTTCTGTAACTAATCAAGTCTGGACGAGACAATCTGGTGATTGACATCATGAGCATCAATCTTCACAATTGGGATAAAATGACATGCATCAACCAGGTCAGCGAGCCTGACCACCAACCATGTTAGTCGCCTTAAGTCATACAACAAGCAGTGTCGCCTCTTATGGCAAGCATGGGTTGCTGAAGACCTCTTTTCCACCCGGATCTTCATGGGTGTTGATGGGTATTCACATGATGTAGCCACTAGTATGACACGGCTACTTCACGTAATTGTTCATAGTGAATCGTTTGTGTCAAATATAGGATTTTGTCCCAATGGTAGATTTTTTTCAGAAACAGAATAAACATGAGAGAATATAAGATGCCTTTACACATATATCATTCATATATTCACAGCAAGATACACATGATAAAGGGCATTATTACCTGTCATTGATAAACACTCAATTATTCATGATATAGAACATGAGAAACCTAAACAAGTGTTTAACATGATAGATCTTATTCTCATGGGGTTATCAATGCAAATGAAATTATTTCCTTCGTTAATCAAATACCGTATCATTAAAGTGACTTACAAAGAAGTACATGAAGAAGCTTATCTTTAAATCTAAATAAAATTTGGAGAAATAGTTGAATTAGATTATTATATTCTTCATAACAAATCAATATCTTTGAGAAGCAACACCATCCTTGTGTCTGTATGGAAATAAGTTCATCATTATAGTAGTTTTGTTTGTTTGTTGTTTAACGCCGCTCTCAGCAATATTCCAGCTATAAGACGGTGGTTTGTAAACAATCGTGTCTCGACCAGACAATCCAGTGATTGACATCATGAGCATCGATCCACGCAATTAGGATACGATGACATGCATCAACCAAGTCAAGGAGCCTGACCACCTGATCCCGTTGGTCGCCTCTTACGACAAGCATAGTCGCCTTTCACGGCAAGCATGGGTTGCTCTAGACCTATTCTACCCCGGATCTTCACGGGTACATTGAAGTAGTCCTTCCCTCTTTATCAACAATTGTAAACTGATACTGAAACAAACATAAAAGTGTGGTCACATTTGCCAGGCTTCAGGAAGATGGATCACAGTGTTTCCTTCCCTGTAATATTATCAACATATTTACTCTCTTCAAAAGGTGGGATTTTTTTTTCAGTTCTTATTTTCTTAAATTCAGAGGCATTTTAATAATTAATGACTAAAACATTGACATCTTTTCCTCATTGATCCTGTTATGAGGAAGTCATATTAGTAATAAATACTAAGGAATACTGGAGTCTTGGCGTCAAAATGTCGGCCTCTCTGCAGGTCTAGATAAATTCCTGATAGGATATTTTTATCATGATAGGACCTTCTATTATATTATGACCAAATACGTTTGAAAGAATCTTCAGGAGAAAATCAGTCAATGTCCTGGAAAATAAATCCCATGAGAAAACTGCAACATTGCCAATATTGCCCAAAAGGCCGAGTCAGATGGTCTCATAGTAAAGCTCTCCTAAGGGCTAGTAGAATTTCAGACCATGGAGGTGGGGATGGGGGGCATCCTTACACGTTATCACTTTTCAAGCTGGTAATATGTCTCAAGTTGCATCGCTTATAACATACAGCAACGTTGCAAAGTCAACGCAATTCTTCTACAAACATCTAGGCTAACAGACGACCATGTGGTCAGTCATTTCATCTCATCTTGAACATTATTGAACCCAATAGCTAACAAGTCACATCAAAATAAGTTGCATTGTTTGGATTGGTATCTGATACTCAATGTTATCACTTTTCAAGCTGGTAATATGTCTCAAGTTGTATTTGCTTATAACCATGCTTATAACATACAGCAATGTTGCAAAGTCAACATAATTCTTCTACAAACATCTAGGCTAACAGATGACCATGTGGTCAGTCATGTCATCCCATCTTGAACATTACTGAGCTCTATAAATAAAAAGTCACATCAAAATAAGTTGCATTGCTTGGATTGGTATCTGATACTCGATGAAAGAACTTTGACATCAGTGTTCAACAAATATGCTAACCCACAAAACAAACAACTTGTAACTGTAAGTGCAGGACTATCTCAAATGCTCCCATTAATTCATGATATTTGCATAACTTGATAAAATTTAGTATGATAGATTGACAACATAATATTAATCAATATTTGACTTCAAGTGTTCAAGCTATAGTGGGATTATTTCAACTTAATGTGATATTATTAGCTCATTGGGAATGAATCTTACTTTTCCTTTCTTAGGACTAGTTTGTTGGTTTAAATATACATACAACACATACATGACATATGCCGTAGATAAGAAAATCTTTTACATTTTCTTACAGTAACACAAAGGCTTGTAACTTACAACAGACTCCAGTGTCCTTATATAATACAGGTTCAGACTACTCCACTGTGTATGTCCACATTAAATGTGAATCTATTTATCTTAATTGACATGACTGTGGGTTTGAAGTACTCAGTGTATTTAGCTGTACACTGTACTGTGGTTAATCGGTGACATACATGCAATAAAACCCATCGACATGATTAAGTGAATCATTTCTTTACTTAACAGATACCTGATCAGATATTATGAGGCAGGTTCTCTTAATGCGGTCATTTGACCCAAACACAGCTGACAACAGCCATTAACACAAACAAAACATTCAAAATTACATGGAACCATCTCCTGAAGGCTGAGGTGATATCGTGTGGTGATGTCGTGTCTGACAACTATGCCATCCATTATCCTACAGCAGTCTCTTTAGAAGACAGATTATTGGAAAGGTAAGTTTTGTAAGTAATTGTGTCATTGAATTGCAAAACAATTAACTTATTCACAAGTAAATATTCAGTATTCATAGTCTGTCACACTACATCACACATATAACAATACTTTACATAGGTACTTTGAAACTGGATGTGAGTTAAATGCACTAATAACATGTCAGTATGCAACCTTGCGAGATTATTGTTTCGCGTGCATGGCAAATTCTTAGGGAGTGAAATTGTGAAGACACATGATGCGCAAAAATATTCATATTACTACATCAATACCCTATTCATGTGTCATAGAGCATCGGTGCATAAGGTGGAAAGACCAACATAATTTGACATTTACAATGAGCAATAACTGTCAATCGATAAGGATGTGCAATAAGTAAAATATTTACACTTACAGATGGTAAGTAGGCCTATGCAAATCGTCGTGGTTTGTAACGGTACCAGATGTCAAGCGACAAACGGGCATAAAACATTGATGGAATGCGGTTATACGGTGTTTAATTAATAAATTGATATTGTCAGACATAGAAACAATGATTATAAGACCCCAAGATTGTGCCAGCAAAGTTACCTTGCCAATTTTACCAGCTTGCACACGAAAGCACACAACCAGATTATTGGAAACGTAAGTTTTGTAAATAATTGTGTCATTTGTCAAGTAAATATTCAGTATTCATAGTCTGTCACACTACACCACACGTAAACCATCAAGGAAACTGGGAGCCTGTCATGTTAGACCATCAAGGAAACTGGCAGCCTGTCATGTTAGACCATCAAGGAAACTGGGAGCTTGTCATGTTAGACCATCAAGGAAACTAGGAGCCTGTCATGTTAGACCATCAAGGAAACTGGGAGCCTGTCATGTTAGACCATCAAGGAAACTGGGAGCTTGTCATGTTAGACCATCAGGGAAACAAGAAGCCTGTCATGTTAGACCATCAAGGAAACTAGGAGCCTGTCATGTTAGACCATCAGGGAAACAAGAAGCCTGTCATGTTAGACCATCAAGGAAACTGGGAGCCTATCATGTTAGACCATCAAGGAAACTGGGAGCCTATCATGTTAGACCATCAAGGAAACTGGGAGCCTATCATGTTAGACCATCAAGGAAACTTGGAGCCTATCATGTTAGACCATCAAGGAAACTGGGAACCTGTAATGTTAGACCATCAAGGAAACTTGGAGCCTATCATGTTAGACCATCAAGGAAACTGGGAGCCTATCATGTTAGACCATCAAGGAAACTGGGAACCTGTCACGTTAGACCATCAAGGAAACTGGGAGCCTGTAATGTTAGACCATCAAGGAAACTGGGAGCCTATCATGTTAGACCATCAAGGAAACTGGGAACCTGTCACGTTAGACCATCAAGGAAACTGGGAGCCTATCATGTTAGACCATCAAGGAAACTGGGAACCTGTAATGTTAGACCATCAAGGAAACTGGGAGCCTGTCATGTTAGACCATCAAGGAAACTAGGAGCCTGTCATGTTAGACCATCAAGGAAACTTGAAGCCTGTCATGTTAGACCATCAAGGAAACTGGGAGCCTGTCATGTTAGACCATCAAGGAAACTGGGAGCCCATCATGTTAGACCATCAAGGAAACGGGGAACCTGTCACGTAAACTATCACAACTCCCCTACTGTAACATAAAATTACTACAGTCACGGGGTTAAGATTGCTTTGTGGAACACCCTGCTAGGTTAGACCCTAGAGAACAAATTAAAAAATGAATCCAACTCAAGTCTGGAGTGCTTTGGCAAGTCTAGATTGCCTCACCTCCTGACATTCAGCATTGTTCTGGGCTCCATTTGGATTATATTTTGTATTTTGTAGATATATATTTTTGAAAAAGATCTCTGGGACTAAATGTTAGACGACTGCAAGGCTTACCCCGTAATATCCCCACCAAAACTTGAGTAGTATGTGGTATTACTAAAAACACTGTATCAGAAGGAAATCCACTGATTGACATCATGAGCATTTATCCACGCAACTGGGATATGAACTGGGATTTGATGACCTGCATCCACCAAGTCAGCGAGCCTGACCACCCGACCATGCTTGGCCACCTATTGTACTGCATCGTGCACCCACTGACCTCAGCCCGTGTCCTTATTTCTGATTTGTTTGTTTGTTTGTTTACTCTGCACTCAGCTACATGACCACAACCTGAAGATAATCAAGTCAGGACCAGACAATCCAATGATTGATATTGTAAGCAATAGGGCTGGGACGAGTCCAAGTTTACTACCCGGGTACCCACATCCCTATTACCCGACCCTACCCGGGTACCCGCTGTTGGTGTCAAGAGATAGGTACAAAATGTCCGATTTGGAATAGTTTGACAGTAGCCCTGGCAGAATATATTTAGATACACATATAAAATGATGTGGTCAAGCATACACTGAAGTTGACTGAAGTTTTAGCTTTGTTCAAACATGTATAAGTCAGAAGGGACGTGCTCATAGTCATGAAGAAATGCGAACATTAGAGACTTAAAATTGTTGTGTAACCATGTAGTTATAAAGTGAAATTTTGTCAATAAACAATATATCACAGGGCTAACTACAGGTCCGGGTAGTCCTGCGGGTACCCGGGTCCTACTCGGTACCCACCCGACCCGGGTACCCGAGTTACCCATCCCTGCCCTATAACAACAGGTCCGGGTAGTCTTGTGGGTACTCGGGTCCTACTCAGTACCCACCCGACCCGAGTACCCGAGTTACCTGTCCCAGCCCTAGTAAGCAACAATACACATGGGCGGTGTATAATGAAACACAATCAACTAAACCACCAAGTATGACCACCCATCCCGTGTGCTCGCCTCTTGCGAAAAGTTCTAACCCAGTAACCCCAGATAATGATTGATATTATGAGCAGCGATCCATGCAGGCTTGGTACATGGGAAGTACATCAGTTTAATGAGTGAGGAAAGCCTGAAGTGATGCAAGTCATAGACCTGTTCAACAAGCATTGCTGGAAAGCATCTTGATCAACCAAGTCTTATTGTTGGGATCAATTACATAGATAACACAAATAATCACATATACCGGCAATGACAAGAAATCTCTACTAGTAGCCGAGTCCATTGTACGATTCCGACCATATCTTAAGCATGTGTATATGAGTCACTATCAAATAGTGATGAATCCAGGTTTATCCACTGGCACCCATCACAAACACATGAAAAGGCAAGTCAATTGTACGATTCCGACCATATCTTAAGCATGTGTATATGAGTCACTATCAAATAGTGATGAATCCAGGTTTATCCACTGGCACCCATCACAAACACACGAAAAGGCAAGTCCATTGTACGATTCCGACCATATCTTAAGCATTTGTATATGAGTCACTATCAAATAGTGATGAATCCAGGTTTATCCACTGGCACCCATCACAAACACACGAAAAGGCAAGTCCATTGTACAATTCCGACCATATCTTAAGCATTTGTATATGAGTCACTATCAAATAGTGATGAATCCAGGTTTATCCACTGGCACCCATCACAAACACACGAAAAGGCAAGTCCATTGTACAATTCCAACCATATCTTAAGCATTTGTATATGAGTCACTATCAAATAGTGATGAATCCAGGTTTATCCACTGGCACCCATCACAAACACACGAAAAGGCAAGTCAATTGTACGATTCCGACCATATCTTAAGCATTTGTATATGAGTCACTATCAAATAGTGATGAATCCAGGTTTATCCACTGGCACCCATCACAAACACACGAAAAGGCAAGTCAATTGTTGACTTGACAAAACACGCAAACATATGGTACAAGTCAAATACATAAAATATCGTGTGTTTCAGGAACAGTTCATCATGTGGATGCTAATAAAATCTCCAGCATAACCCCTTTCTTTATCCCATCGATACGTTAACATGCCATTGAAATACTCACAGACAATCCAGTGACTGATACAAATAATGACTTATGCAATCAGTGTTTGTTTTTTAATGACGCACTCAGCAATATTCCAGCTGTATGATGGGAGTCTGTAAATAATCCAGTTTGAACCAGACAATCCAGTGATTGATATGAATAACGACCCATGCCATCATTGTTTGTTGTTTAACACCGCACACAGCAATATTCCAGCTGTATGATGGGACCAGACAATCCAGTGATTGATATGAATAATGACCCATGCCATCATTGTTTGTTGTTTAACGCCGCACTCAGCAGTATTCCACTATATGACAGCATGCCTTGAAATAGTTGCCTCTGGACCAGACAATCCAGTGATTGATATGAATAATGACTTATGCAATCATTGTTTGTTGTTTAACGGCACACTCAGCAATATTCCAGCTGTATGATGGGAGTCTGTAAATAATCGAGTCTGGACCAGACAATCCAGTGATTAGCATCATGAACATAGATCCAAGCAATTGGGATACGATGACATGCACCTGTGAAGATCCAGGTTAGAATAGGTAAATAATCCAGTTTGGACCAGATAATCCAGTGACTGATATGAATAACGACCCATGCAATCATTGTTTGTAGTTTAACGCATATAATATAATAATTAGATGCACAGCAAGGGCTTTTATAAGTTATCATTGTGTAACATTTATATAACATTTCATATAATTATAGTTTAGCAAGTAAAAATACCCCAAGGGTCAAGAAATAAACAGGACTCTTTATGTGCCAGTCAGTTAATCACAGGATGTACGGTATTATCACCCGTGTATACATACTGACAACACTGATTTGACACGTCTCGAAGGAAATGATTATTAGTTTAAAGATCATTCCTAGATTATAAAAATAGTAACAACAAGTTGTTCCTAAGAGTACTGTCTGCTTATCTAGACTTGCCTATCCAAAGTAAACAATGACTATACATACATGGACTTATCATTCAGTACAGACTTGGAGCAAGGCTATGTTAACCCCAACAACAATGGGTTGATACAGCAATATACACATGGGTATACATGGTATACGGACATGTAATACTGAAACAGATGCAAAGACCCAACCCTACTTTCACATGAAAAACATGGTTAGTTTCTCGTATGACACTGCATTGAAACATAAATATGGAAAACATCCCGAGCAAGTCTATAATGCCCTGCCAAATGTAGATTTCTCCTGACAAATGATGAGATTCTATGCATTCCTTTGTATGATATATTACAAGACAATGCAAACAAAAAATCTAAACACACTTTTATGTCAGAGACAAAATGTTAGCACCGTATTAGCCGTAATAAGTGTCCTAGGTCTAGCCACAACAACTTAAACCTGTTGTCAGGCATATAGCGGTAGAGAAGGAACTTAGTTTAGACATTGGTGACACCAAAGCTTGTTTGATAATAATTATACATTGATGGACAATATACACAAGAAAATAGGACCTTATCATGTAAATGTAATATTGGACTGGGGTGGTTTTATGGCGAATACAGTGGCTACCATTGGTATAAAATCACCTACCTTAAACAATCTTCCATCTAGAAGTGAATATCAGGAGGCTGTGTCAGGAGGTTGTGTCAGGAGGCTGAGTCAGGAGGCTGTGTCAGGAGGCTGTGTCAGGAGGTTGTGTCAGGAGGATGTGTCAGGAGGTTGTGTCAGGAGGTTGTGTCAGGAGGTTGTGTCAGGAGGCTGTGTCAGGAGGTTGTGTCAGGAGGCTGTGTGGAGAGGTTGTGTCAGGAGGTTGTGTCAGGAGGTTGTGTGGAGAGGTTGTGTCGGTGACGGCACAGACATGTTGGTCCGGGTCTGCAACAATGTCCAACAAAATGAACACAACTAATTGACAGCCAAAGGAAGAAAGATAAACCATAATTACTATGCAAATGTAAATGTTTATGCCCTGATATCATGGAAATAAAATACAAAATGAATTTCATGAAATTTTTTAAGTAAGGTAGATCTGTGTGATTTTTCGTGGGAGGGAGACGTGGTTATGTGACATCAGCAGGTCTTTACAGCAGCAATGGAATAAAGACAAAGAACTTGGTCAATGAATGGATCATAATGAATAAATACTCATCATAAAGAGAGGTGTTTTTGTTGGAAATACGGTAGTTGAATACTTCGGTTTGTTTACACTGTTCGGGCATGGACAGTGTGTGAAGGTACGCACTTATATTACATGTACATACAAGAATACAGGAAGCGCGCTGCCTGCTTCCTCGCCACACAAACACTTGGGATGTGCAGCAGAGAGCAGCAAAGACAGGTGACAATGTCTTGGAATGTCCTGTGAATGGCAAAGGCACATGCCATAGTTTTGAGCATGCCTCGTCCCTATTTGACAGAATGGCAGCTCCATGCGAGGAATATAAACTGTCAAGTGAAATATATACATGAACTTACAACTGTCCCTGACCAGCGATGGAGATGCCACGAGACAGAATGTTGGAGTAGTGATGCCAGCCACAAGTAACGTGCCGTGCCCGCCATGGCCAGCTGATAGAGGTAAACAAGGCCCCTTGTGATCTCGCCTGTGATTGGAGCTTGCTGCTTCCGGTTAAGGAAAGGCGGGTGATTGGTTAGACTTGCTCCAAGTCTCTACTGAATTATAAGTACATGGGTGTACAGTAATTCTATCATGATTATAATGGACTGGTCTACAAGGGGGCCAGTCTTTTACAGGGACAATGTGTTCTTATTATTTATATATTTAAGGAACTACGATTGGAACTGATAACCATATTCTAAGAGACTTGTGCCAGTGTAGTGGTCGGTGAAATGGAGACCATGAGCAGGGTGGATGTTCACAAGTTGTGGGTTTGTGCGAAAAGTGGAAATGAGTAGAAAAGAGAAGAACTATGAGGAAGAAGATATATTTGAGCCATTGGTTGATGTGAAAAAAATAAAGCAAAATTATGCAATAATGTGTTGGGTTTTTTTTCAGAAAACATAAGACATGAAGGTAAATGCCGACATCATCATTTTTCTGTCAAATCTTACTGAAATTACATCATAAACAGGCTATTTATGCATTTGCATGAAGGAGTGCACTTGGGTTCAACGATGAGATGTAGGTCTTAGACATTTACCACTTAGGCAAAACCCATGAGCATGGGTATGGTGCTGAATGACCTAGAAACATAATAGGGTCAAACCAGGATTCAAACCTAGGATCACTGGTTTCTTGGATTCATTTTTAGATCAACATATTGTCTCTTCAAGTTTCCTAATTCCAGACTAGATTCAAGAATGGAATGGGATGGGATGGGATGGGATGGGATGGGATAGCATGAGTGAGTGAGTGAGTGAGTGAGTTTTAATGCCACTTTGAACAGTATTCCAGTTACATTACAGCGTACAGGCTGATGGTGTCTAAGATGTATAGAGCTGACAATGGGATGAGTGTTGGCAGATGCAGCTCTCAAGGGGATGTGAGGTGGAACAGAATGGGGGTCATTGTTTTATATCATTTAGGTCTTAACGAGAGACAAGGTTATTTCAAACCATCAACTTTCCTCTCCCTGGGCAGACATGCTTAAGGGACACAACTCTGCACAGCAAAATTGAAATAAACAAAAACAAGTGTGCCACCCATACCACAAAGGCTCGCAACAAGACAGAAAGCATCCACAAACAAGTTCTTGGTGAACTGGACCTTGGTATGTAACCAAGATAACAAAGCTACAAAAACCATTGATGAGGTTTCCCTAACCCAACCCTCATCTTAACAACAAGTACCATCTTACTGTCTTTCAGTTTGAGACGGCCACCAGGGGATTGAACCACCGACCTTACACTCTCCCAGTCGTATAAGCATGTGTGTGAGTGAGTGATTGAAAGTTGCAGCAATATTCCAGCATCACCATGGCAGTAAATCATCAAGCCTGGGACATGGTATGGACATGGTATGAACATGGTATATGGACATGGTATATGGACATGGTATACGGACATGTAGTGCTGAAACACTTCCAGATGTTTTGACCCAATTAGTTTAACTTGTACTTATTTTTGTCCGAATTCTCCTACTGAGGTGAGGTGAGGTGAGGTGAGGTGAGGTGAGGTGAGGTGAAATTGTGTGTAACACCTGCATGCATATGTGTGTGTTTGTGTGTGTCTACAAAACTATGGCAAATCTAGATTTCTCATGAAAATGAGAAATTCTAAGTAATCCCGTGTCTGAAATATTGCCATGGTTACAAGACAATTGTACCAAAAACCTGCTACATAGGACTAAATGTTTGCTGTAGTAAGCACCCGGGAGCTTGACAAAAGTGGGGGGGGGGGGATTGACACCAAGCACAAGTTACATTTGTTGTTAGAGACATGGCGGTGCTGGAAACTTGATAAAATGGTATGGATTTTCCAGAAATTACTATGGATCAAGTAAAAGAGATAGCTAACCCATGCCCTTCTACATAAACTAACCCTAATGATCGTAAAGGGGTGCTTGATCGAAAATGGGTACCTAACCCTAATGATCGTAAAGGGGTGCTTGATCGTAAAGGGGTACCTAACCCTAATGATCGTAAAGGGGTGCTTGATCGTAAAGGGGTACCTAACCCTAATGATCGTAATGGGGTGCTTGATCGTAAAGGGGTACCTAACCCTAATGATCGTAAAGGGGTACCTAACCTTAATGATCGTAAAGGGGTACCTAACCCTAATGATCGTAATGGGGTGCTTGATCGTAAAGGGGTAGTAACCCTAATGATCGTAAAGGGGTGCGTGATCAGAAAGGGCTAAATAGAAAGTTGTGGTTAGCCTATGTTTGGGTGGAACACAGACCTGTGAAGTGAGAGCCACAATCGAGCCAATTAATGCTAAATCAGCTGGTCCCAGTAAAGTGCATTGATGAGTTACTCCTTCACCATTGCTGTAATATACACAAAAGAGGACCTGTCGCATAAATCTATTTTGGGAGTATCTAGACTTGCTCGGAGGCCCATATTCAGTCACAAGTCTGCAGCAAATGATTGTACAAATTCCCAATTTGAAGCTAAAATTTCCCAATTCCTCAGAAAGAACGAAAATTTTACGTTACAAAATTCTAATTTTGAACTATATCCCAATTTTAACCGAATTTGCCTGCCAATTCTAGATACATCCTTGCTATTATAGGAGCGGTGAGCTTGATACCACAAATACAGCACACCACGTGACAAATATTATTGAGAACAATGAGACCAAGGTAAAATCACCTACCTTTCACAATCTTCCATTAAGTAGAAAATATCAGGGGCTGTGGTAAGTTGTGTCAGGAGATTGTGTCGGTGGCCACGGAGCCATCTTGGAGAGGGTCTGCAACAATGTCCAACACAATGAGCACAAGTGATTCACAGACCACTCTCAATGCTCTGATACTTTGGAAACCAACAAAACCCTGAATTTCTTTGAAATTTAGATATAAAGAGTTGAATAAAGATGTCACTTTTCCTGGTTCATGATACTGGGATAATTACAGAACTGTTACCATGGTTACAATCAAGTGGTAACACAAAGAAACTAATGTCAACAATATTATTGACTTTTATATTATGTAATGGTGCATAGTGAAGAAAAAGCAGATGTTAAAGGTAATAATCAATGATACAATGAACTTGGCAGGATTGGGAGGGGGGAGAGGGAGAGGGAGGGAAGGGGGGGGGGGGGGGGAGGGAGAGGGAGAGCCAGGAGGGGGACATCGGTTCGGCAGGCCTGTACCACAGCAATGGAATAAAGACAAAGAACTTGATCAATCGAAGGCGCATAATGAATGCATACTCATCATAAAGGGATGTGTTTTTTTTAAGGAAATACGGTAGTTGAATACTTAGGTTTGTTTACACTGAGGGACGTGATGAAGTTGATTAATGATAATAAATTGCAGTTCTTCTGTCGGATGAAATACGGTAGCTGTATACTCTGTTATAGGGAGTGGTTAGTGGGTGAAGGTACGCATTTATCATCCATACAAGAATACAGAAAGCGCGCTGCCTGCCTCTTTGCCACGAAAACACTTGCAATGTGCACCAGAGAGCGGCAAAAACAGGTGACATTTTCTGTGATGAAAGAAAAACTTGCAAATAGCCAAGGGAGGACAAGGTTTGGAACACGCTTCGTCCCTGATTGACAGAATGGCCGCTCTGTGCGGGAAATTAAAGACGTAGAGTGAAATATATGAATGAACTTACCTTCAGATGCATGTGCATAATCGTCATCTCCGTCGATGGAGATGCGACGAGACCCAGCGAGCGAGCACCTTGGGTGTGTTGATGCCAGCCAGCCACAATCAGATACGTTCGCCGCCATGGTCTGCGATTGCGGAAATGACGGCCTTGGCATTCGTGATCTCGATTGTGATTGGTGCTTTGCCGCTTCCTTCCGGGTGGCTTGGTGCCGGCTGTCTAAACTGCGTTTTTTGGCGGTCGGTGCAATGCCCAGATGCTCTCGGTGTAGCCGGTGGCCTTTGAGTGGCTTGGTACCGTCTGGCTAAACTGCGTTTCTTGGCGGTCGGTGCAATGCCGAGATGCTCTCCGTGTAGCCGGTGTAGTCACGTGGTGGATTTGCGTGAAAAACTACATGTACGATGAATAAAAGCTATTCCCTATATTAGAAAAATAAAGTATAATTATGCAATAATTTGTTTTACAGACAACAGAAGATGTGAAGGTAAAGTAATGAAGAGTATAAAACCTGCAGACGAGGTGTAAGATGTATAAATGGTGACAATTGGAAAGAGAGTTAAAACTGCATTGAAGGGCAACAACAGGAAATTGCAAGCAAGCAAGAGAGACAAGAAACAAATTATGCCACACAGTGAAGGAAGTAAAATGAACACTTAAAAATTGTATTTTTTGTTTTGAATTTGTAGTGAATTTTTCTGTAAAAAATGTGATGAAATGAAAGACAAGAGAAGTTAATTTACAATATTGTGTTTGAAAGCAAAGCCGTGGTTAAAAATTGTAGTGAAATTTTGTGAAAAAAACATTGTGTTTGAAAGCGAAGCCGTAAACATGGAAGAAAGCGGGGCAGAAGCGGGTTAAAAGTGGGTCCTGGGTAATCTGGGCAAAAGAAGCGAAAGGGAGAAAAGCGAAAAGGGCGAAGCCTGGAATTGTTGGTGAAAGCCAATCAAAAGCGCGTTAAAAGCGGGGAAGAAGCGGGGTGAAAGCGGGGCGTGGATAATCGAGGCAAAAGAAGGGAAAGGGAGAAAAGCGATTACTGGGCCGGTGAAAAGGGAATTGTTGGTGAAAGCCGATCAAAAGCGCGTTAAAAGCGGGGAAGAAGCGGGGTGAAAGCGGGGCGTGGATAATCGAGGCAAAAGAAGGGAAAGCCGTGGTTAAAAATTGTAGTGAAATTTTGTGAAAAATACATTGTGTTTGAAATCGAAGCCGTAAACATGGAAGAAAGCGGGGCAGAAGCGGTTAAAATGGGTCGGTAGCGGGTAAAAAGCGGAGACTGGGTAATCGAGGCAAAAGAAGGGAAAGGGAGAAAAGCGATTAGTCGGTCGATGAAAAGGAAGCGATCGGATTGGCTCGGGTCGAAGGGTGAGAGTTGAGCGTGGGGTTCATGTAGCTTGTAAGTAGTTCTTTTAAAAAAGAGTTCCTTCCAGAAAGGGCGTTTGCACCCACTCAGGGTGCCCCTGGGCCAAAGCGAACGGCGCCAAGAGACTGCCGACCAAACCTGGAGACACAAGCACTTTCGAAAGGACCCACAAGTACCAGGAAGTGGATTTACAGACGGGTGTGAATTGTCTGGAAAACACCCTTTCTATTTATAAACGTTCGGATATAGCGCGAGATTAACAAGATGACTGGTGGCCCCATTAGCGCTGTGAAATAACACATACTGGCCATGGGTTATGGGCGTACAGGATGGATGGTTTTTCTGGCCCTGGGATGTTTTATTTGTAGGTTCTAAGCTCGCGGCATACCCCGTTAACCACAAGTGCAGGTTTTTTTCCTGGGGCCCAAAATTGAATACCATACGTGTGTTGCACGTTGCATGATATTTCAAGTTTTGTAAATACGCCAAAAATGCTTAAACCACAAAGACATATGCTATTGGTACATTCTGAAACAGAAAGATCAACACTATTCGTTGGATATGAATAATATTTGTGGACCATTATATGTTACATTGATATAGATCTTACTATTTCCCAGCGCACTTTTTGAAATATGAATTAAGAAATATGCTGCAGTCGGGAAGCGCACGTAAAATCTCCAACATGAGTAATTACAAGGGGCCAACATGACAAACGTTTTACTCGGGCTATAGGTAAGAAGAAGCGATGGTTTGTTGAGTGTCAACCGAAGCAGCACTATGAATTGTGTTAATATTGTACAGAACTGATGACAGACACATTCATCTGAAAATGTTCAATTGAAACGCACTGTTGTGTGGTCTCTCTTCGTTTGTCGCTTGTATTGATGGAAGAGAGGACTAAAACACATTTAGTATGGGGTTGGGACACTGAATGGCCGATTTGCTCCGGATAATGTTGCACAACGTTGGACATTATGTACATGGTATCGTAGCCTGTCCAGTTTCATTCCTTTTCTGATCATTCGGCAGAATATGTATTAATAGGCTTAATGTATAGATATCTGGTTCCGAAATGGGAAGGGACATGTTGTTTCTGTTAAAGTACCAGGTGTTTCCATGCAAACACAAATATCAATGATGATGTTATGATGAGCCTATGACTTTTTTCTGAAAGTGGATGTGCGACTTTAATGGTCACGACACAAGCATAATGCAGGTACTTTTTTCTCCCCTCCCCTCCCCTCCCCTCCCCTCCCCTCCCCTCCGACGCACCGGAAGTGTGCATCGGGCAAACCGGAAGGGGGCATACCGGAAGTGGATATACCGGAAGTGGACATCGGGCTAACCGGAAGTGGACATCGGGCAAACAGGAAGTGGACATCGGGCAAACCAGAGGCGGGCACATCTGGAGTTGACAAACTGGAAGTGGACATCGGGCACACCGGAAGCGGGCAAACCGGAAGTGGACATGTGGTACACCGGAAGTGGACAAACCGGAAGTGGGCATCGGGCACCGGAAATGGACTTTGGGCACATCTGGAGTTGACAAACTGGAAGTGGACATCGGACACACCGGAAGCGGGCAAACCGGAAGTGGACATCTGGTACACCGGAAGTGGACACACCGGAAGTGGGCATCGGACAAACCGGAAGCGGGCACACCTGGAGTGGACAAACTGGAAGTGGACATGGGGCACACCGGAAGTGAACAAACCGGAAGGGGATATGGGACAAACCGGAAGCGGACAAACCGGAAGTGAACATCGGGCAAAGCGGAAGTGGGCTTCGGGCAAACCGGAAGCGGGCACACCGGAAGTAGACAAACTGGAAGTGGACATCGGGCACACCGAAAGTGGACAAATCTTAAGTAGAAATCGGGCACACCGGAAGTGGACAAACTGGAAGTGGACATCGGGCACACCGAAAGTGGACAAATCTTAAGTAGAAATCGGGCAAACCGGAAGCGGACAAACCGGAAGCGGGAATAGGGCAAACCGGAAGCGGGCACACCGGAAGTAGACAAACTGGAAGTGGACATCGGGTACACCGAAAGTGGACAAACCTGAAGTACATATCGGGCACACCGGAAGCGGACAAACCGGAAGTGGGCATTGGGGCAAACTGGAAGTGGACATCGGGCAAACCGGAAGTGGGCCTCGGACAAACCGGAAGTGGACATCGGCACACCGGAAGTGGACATCAGTTACGCCAAAAGCGGACACACTGGAAGGGGACATGAGGCACATCGGAACCGGATATCAGGCAAGAATTGAAACTGAAACGAAAATTTGAAATTTACACCTGGACAAACTTTTTGCTTTTCTTCAACACCTACTGTGCATAACCAACTCATTCTTATAAAATACAAAAGTATCAGTATGGGAAAAACATATCTGTCAATTCTTATTTCGTCCATTCGTATTGACTTTAACATTGATGTGTTGACAGTGTCTTATGTATACGGGAACATCTAGAATGACCTCAGTATTTTTCTATTTTATAGCAATGATTTATGTCACCCAATTGAGATATGGCCAGGCTCTTAACCCTTTCCCTGTTCACCTCACACAGTGTATTGCCAAAAGTAGTGGCGAGGCTCCTAACCCTGAACCTGTTCACCTCACACAGTGTATTGCCAAAAGTAGTGGCGAGGCTCCTAACCCTGAACCTGTTCACACAGTGTATTGCCAATAGTAGTGGCGAGGCTCTTAACCCTGAACCTGTTCACCTCACGCAGTGTATTGCCAAAAGTAGTGGCGAGGCTCTTAACCCTGAACCTGTTCACCTCACACAGTGTAATGCAAAAAATGGCGGTGAGGCTCTCAAGGGGTCCTGGGGTCCTGAAGGTTTGCTCCTGTAGTATTTCAATCGGGGGATTTTAATCTAATTCAACTTTCAATATTGTGCTTATGACAAAGACAAACATTTCAGCAATGTTCCAACAATGTTCTAGCAATAGTCCAGCAATATCCAGCAGTGTCCCAACAATGTTTCAGCAATATCCAGTAATAGTCCAGTAATATCCAGCAGTGTCCCAACAATGTTTCAGCAATATCCAGCAGTGTCCCAACAATGTTTCAGTAATATCCAGCAGTGTCCCAACAATGTTTCAGCAATATCCAGTAATAGTCCAGTAATAGTCCAGCAATATCCAGCAGTGTCCAACCAAAGTTCCAGGATTGTCACGATATCCCAGTAAAGTTCAACCAATGTCTCAACTTGTTTTAGAAATTGGAGCACTGCCAGGAATCCACTTTGTTGTGACCGGTGCATACCATCTGGCCCTATTTCCAAGTTGTTTAAGTTACATGACCCAAACATTTTACATGAGTACAATAAGGACCATGGAACTATACCTTACAATGCAGATACATTCCAAGCTAAGGAAAATTAGCAGTGTGCAACTTTAGCCACTTGTCCAAAGCCAGTGTCTAGCAAGGTGCTGTTCGGCCTAGTAAGCTCAGCTAATAAAAGTCCATAGGATGACACTAAAATGTACAAAACATGATACTAGATTCAAGTTAGTGCTAATGAGTCAAAGTATCGGCACACACTGAATGCAGTAACATTTTTCAGCAAACAAGTAACGTTCATGTGAGAGTACAGCTTGACATCAATGGAATAGTCAAAGGAAATTTATTATGACAAAATAAGACATGAAAACCGTCACCATATTTGATAAAAATTATTAACTTAGTGTTAGGCTCAGCCATATTCCAGCTGTATGACGGCAGTCTGTCAATAATCGAGTCTGGACCACACAATCCA